CGTGCTTTGCAGCCTCTCAATCTTTTCCTGGCCTTAGTTACGAATTTCAAACTACCGTGCTCATGCACGTTTTTGACGTCGTTCTGGACGGCGCTCAAGCGGTTTTTTTCGCGGGAAAAAATGTGGAAGAGGTAGGAAGTAAGCTTCTTAGTCGAAAACATCTTTTGTTGTTCAAGAATGTCATTTTCTTCTCCGTGCAAAAATTTGTGTCGCCTAGGTAACCGAATTTGCTGGCTTGAAGTATGCCTGAAAATTCAAAAAAAAAAACTTGCAGAGTCTCAAACACTATTAAAGGTGTGTATGTGCGCTACACATGCTGTGTGCACCTGTTGGCTTAGAAATTCTGCTTCCGAAACCTCACTGAAGTTCCACGCAGATGTTTTTTGAGATTGACATTCGTTTATGAAGGTTACCGCGAGAACTGACGCAGGTGAGGTAAAGGGGGGGGAGGGAGGGGGGTAGATGGGGAGGGGGTCGTACGAATGGGTACCTTCAAGGAGGGGGGTCGTAAGTGGGGGTCCCGGATCGCATCAACACGCTTGACCCTGATTCCGACCCACACTTTGCATTTGAACGTAACTACCCTAAGCTCAACTGACTACAGTCACTGTTGCGCTTATTTTTCCATCAAATGTAGAATGGATCAGTTGAGGGTTTCTATATATTATGCATAGAGACTGCACAGACCCGTTTAGGTAGATGAACTTCTCGGAAATCAAAAAAATAGCTGTTACTCTGTTTATTTTCTATTTGAAGCATCTTCTGGAGTCTGGTGCTGGTAAAAGCCAGAGACGAATGTCGCACTATGGATGTTTGGAGTTTTGCCATTCTTGATGAGTTGTTGAGTTGTACAACATCACCTTGATAGGTGTTGAAAGCTATATTTTACCATATAACTTAGTATAGTTTACCTATTTTCTTCTTCATGGAGGAGTGACGGCATGAATCTGAATCTTATACTGTGCATAGTTTGAGAACTCAAGATAGTGTGACAGCTTAACTATTGCTAACGTCTTTCCATTCACTGACATTGAGCTCATGCCAAAGAACACTCTAACACAACAGCTTTAGGAACTGTTTTCGTAGCAAGCCGCTATTTGCTGGCAGGACCATCGCGCACTTATATACGAACTTCAAAAAGAAGCTGCGGTGCAAGCTGCACCCATGATCATTGTCACTCTGCAGCGTTTTCTCTTCGTATTTTGTCACCATTTGTACATAAGGCTGCATCTGAAGGGAAGCATTATTCGTTCGGATTCCGGTGCTGACTTAACTTACAGTATAAATGTAGTGCGACCGCAAAAGGTGTCCCCTCTTCTTTCTTTAATCTTACTAATTCCATAAAGTGGTTCTGGAATTGATATGATGTGCATAACATATCGATATTCAAGTTATACTCAGTGACTAATAGACGGTAGGTAGTACACTGACAAGCTAGCATCGCAGTGTTAGAGCTTATGATAAAATTAGGAAGAAAAGTGTATGAAGGTAAGAAATACCAATAATCATGTTTACTTTTCATTAATCACTCATTTATTACAAATGAGGGGATTGAAACAAAAAAAAACAGCATTCGCCCTATAGATGGCGAAAACTCAGACTAGGAGAATGAGATGACCGGAAAGTAAGTCTTAGGGAACCTTCGCTACATTGGTACGCTCGTTACCCTAGTAGTAAAACCTTATAAGAGAGAAAGAACGATGATCCAGGGTTGAAAGTAAGGGAAGAAAACAAAGAACTACGAATATGCCAATTGAGACAACGGCTTTGAAAGCAATAGACTCAGAATCTGCGTATGATACATCAACCTGTGTTAGGTGCGAAAAGAAACTGCTCATGTTTTGACATCCTTGTGGTTCTTGCTACGCCCAGAACGGACATCGGACAAGAACTGCTTTTGCACAAGGTTCATCTTAAAGTTCGTGGGTACGCGCTGGTCCCGCCACGAACACCCTGTTAGGCGCAGTAGGAGACTGTAGCAAACGGTGCAACGACTGCGAAATCTGTTCTGTCGTCCCCGCTGGGGAGGACGGGATCTGACAAGGGAAGGATGACCGGTCGAAGTGGCCATTTGGAATGAGCTGTATATTAGGAAACCGTCCTCGGTAAGGCAAACTCAAAACTGCTTTCGCTAGGTGCCGAGCGGTCTTGTGGGGGAATTACAAGGCCATTTTCCTCCGGCGCAACCAGCACAACCAGTGATGAGCGAGGCGCTAGAACAAACGCAGCAGTGTGGCGGTGCGCAGTGGCAAGACAGCGGACTACGAAGCAGATGATCGAGAGTTCGAGTCCTGTTGCTGTTGTTTTGTTTTGCAGTTCCGTAAAAAGTCTATTGGGTGACAGTAAACGAAAAATACTCGTTTCTAGGCAGTTAAAACAAGCTATTTACTGCAAAAAAGTCACTATTTCTGCGATAAGCTATAATCTTCTACAATATGTAAATCTGTGGAGGTTATGATGTCACAACAAGGGATTCAAATGATATATTAACATGTATGGAATACAACCACAAAATGCTCAAAGCAGAAGAGCTTCTCGCAGCGCGCGCACTTGCAAAATTGCAATCGATTCACATCCCATGTATTGACACTCGATCTGAATTTTACCTTGCATCATAGGGATTCCGATCTTATTGCTCATTTACACACAGTTTTGCTCGCCGCGATTCAAAAATTTCCTTTCATACCCATGGCCTGCATACATTGATAACCACCCGGCGAATACGAGTCTCCTATTCAGTACTGTTTTCCACCGACTTTGATAGGCAATTGTATAGCTGCTGATTGTCATCGTTTATTTTATCCGATGTGGTTTTGCTCGCCGCGATTCAAAAATTTCCTTTCATACCCATGGCATGCAGCCGGATACATTGATAACCACCCGGCGAATTAAAATCTCCTATTCAGTAATGTTTTTCACCGACTTTGATAGGCAATTGTGAAGCTGCTGATTGTCATCGTTTATATTTTATCCGGTGTGCGCGCAGCGAGAAGCTCCTCTGCTTTGAGCATTTTGTGGTTGTATTCCATACATATTGATATATCATTTGAATCCCTTGTTGTGACATCATAACCTCCACAGATTTACCATTGTAGAAGATTATAGCTTATTGCAGGAATAGTGAACTTTTTGCAGTAAATAGCTTGTTTTAACTGCCTAGAAACGAGTATTTTTCGTTTACTGTCACCCAATAGACTTTTTACGGAACTGCAAAACAAAACAACAGCAACAGAACTCGAACTCTCCCATCTGCTTTGTAGTCCGCTGTCTTGCTACTGCGCCACCGTCACACTACTGCGTTTGTTCTAGCGCCTCGCTCATCACTGGGTGCGCCGGCTGCGTCGGAGGAAAATGGCCTTGTAACTCCCCCCCCCCACAAAACCGCTCGGCACCTAGCGAAAAAACTTTTGAGTTTGCCTTACCGAGGACGGTTTCCTAATATACAGCTCATTCCAAATGGCCACTTCGACCGATCATCCTTCCCTTGTAGTGGGATGCGTCATATCTCGCTACTCTACGTATCTTTCTTCTCCTTTCTCTATCTTGCTTATAATTTTAATATACTTATACCTGCGCATAATGGATGCCAGGTTACTACCATACAAGATTGATTTTTTGCCATTTTGTGTGATCCCCTGGGATCTCCTGAGGATCACCTCTCATTTTCAAAGTGATTTATATTCCTGAGAAGTCAATGAAAAAGCTGTAAAATTGTACTGAGGATATACTACGGCACTGCTAAGCATATTTTCGAAAGAAGAAATGGAATATGAAAACTGTGAGTTTTTCGACGATTCCTGGCTCGCGAGCTAGGGATTACCAAGGATTTCGATATCCTGAGATTTCACTTGTCTTATATATAAAGCTGAATGTCTGTTTTCTGTCTGTCTGTCTGTCTGTGTGTACGTATGTTCCGAATAGAAAATTCCATTTCTGAACCGATCGGGACCAAACTTAGCACACATACACTTCGGGCCCCTGCGGGTGTCATAGGCTACTTTTCGTCATCGATCGATATCGATTTTATCGATTTTTTGCAAAATTTGAGCTACAGGGCTGGGAGTTGGCACAGGGGTAATCGAGCATGCTGATCACCTCCGTGGGGATGATCAGCATGCTCGATCACACCCCTCTGCCAAATTCCAGCCCCCTAGCTCAAATTTTGCAAAAAATCGATAAAATCGACATCGATCGATAACGAAAAGTGGATTGTGACACCCGCCGGGGCCCGAAGTGTATGTGTGCCAAGTTTGGTCCGGATCGGTTAAGAAGTGGAATTTTCTATTCGGAACATACGGCGGAGCCGGGTAAGCCAGCTAGTCTTATATATAAAGCTGAATGTCTGTATGTCTGTCTGTATGTCTGTATGTCTGTACGTATGTGCGGAATAGAAATTTTTATTTCTGAACCGATTTGGACCAAACTTGGCACACATATACTTCGGGGCAGGGAGCGTGTCATAGGCTACTTTTCGTTATCAATCGATGTCGATTTTATCGATTTTTTGCAAAATTTGAGCTACGGGGCTGGGAGTTGGCACAGGGGGGTAATCGAGCATGCTGATTACGAATATAATAATGACAGGGCCGGACGGAGCCGGGTTTGCCAGCTAGTTTCTAAATCATCTTTAGCAGCTAGTATATCCACAGTACAATTTTGCAGCATGTCACTGAGTTTTCATGGAGATAAATGGCATTGAAACTGGGAGGTGATCACACAAAATAATGAAAATCTAATCAATCACGCCAGTAACCTGGCCTCCATTATGCGCAGGTATGAGGGTATGAGAAACTTCATAAGCAAGATAGAAAAGGAAGAAGAAAAATACGTAGAGTAGCGAGACATGACTCATCCCGTCTCAGATCCCCTCCCCTCCCCAGCGGAGATGTATATGCCGGGCCTAAATATGCAAAGTTCGCGCCTCTTGACATATCCCCTTTCCCTTAGTTAGAGAATGGCCTAGCGTCGTAGCGCTGCGTATTCGTGCATATTCAGTGCAATCACACAAGCAACCTATTTTATTAGATTAGACGAAAGCCCCCGTAGTATACTATAGAGGTTTGATCACAATTGCAATAACACAGAAGGCAATGACTAAAAAATGATGCAACAAGACCCCATATGATAACAGCCATGATACCAGTAAAGTTCCAATACAACCTTATATGACAAGAGCATAGAAATAAGACACAAAGAACAATTATTTGCTCATTCGCACTATAAGAAAGATGAATGCCACAAAAAGTAGAGCTCTTGTGAGGAAGTATTTCATTTCCAGAACAGATGAGATTATGATGAGAGCATGACGCCTGATATAAGTGCGTTTAAATAAGGAGTCATGCTAAATTACAACGACAAAAGAGGGTAGAAGGTGCATTCAGTGTGAGTTTAATACAGTTCACTTACTAAAGAGACTTCACTGGTAAAATTCTTTCCACTCAAACTTCTGGAACTGATTAGCGGGATCGCATCGAGTTAAACTGAGATCTCCTGGTTTTGGGGCGTCTACTGTGAGACAGGTCCGCGACTTAGTGTAGACGATTTGCCGTGTTTCCTGAAAATAATTATGAGAGATTTTTCATAGTCTTTTAATCATAACAACCTCGTCGTAAGCCCAAGGTCCATTTACTGTTCCTTTTCTACAGTGATTAGCTTCAACGCCAGAGCGTTTTGGTGTCAGACACCATTCACCTTGTGCTAGTTGACCTTCCAGGTTCAATCGAAGAAGCTTTAAAAAGCGTATTAAATATTATGAAAAAAAAATAGATCAAATGCAAGCAAAACTGCTTCAATTCACATTCACACGTTCGCACATGGCAAAGCTCGTAATTCAAAAAGTCGAAAAACTAAAGTTACTGATAGCTTTTCTTTTTTATTCCCGATAAGGCTTTCAATTTGAAAAAACCAAGCAGAATACCTGGTTGCCTCCATAACCATGACATCCACTTACACCCAATGGCCCGGGAATCCCTCCCATACGATCCAAGCACTTGCCTGCAATAAAGGCTCAGCAGGCATACAAGGTACAATACGGAAACAAGCTTCTTTTGAAATGTGATATAAAGCGAATCATTTGCTGAATGATCACAACATTCTTGAGAGAAAGAATAGTTTTTTTTCAATTTTTAGATGACCTCTGCACAAGTAGAAAAGGATAATTTGCGCCTAGAATGAGGATAACTCTATTACTGACTAAACAACTAACTCTTCAAAAATCTTGAATGCGAGGGTAACACGTTTAGCATATCAGACGCTAAGAAACAACATTTGAAATTTCAGACTAGGGTCTCATTCTAGGTCCTAATTGCGTCAGAACAAAACGCCTTAGTAACTTCCAAACAGTCGCAAAGTATGATCCATCCGCGGAATGAATTCAAATTTGCGATCTCTGAATTCATCCAAAAGACGGATCTTCTTCCACTAAATCCATAGAGCTCCAAATCGCTCACATATATGCTCTCCACATCAGCCATTCGTATAAGCAAGTGCTATTTTTTCCATACTTGTAATCGAGCAAACGAACTCAAATGTTTTGCTGAAGTAACGCTGGCTGTTCCCCATAAACATGATCGGCTCCCGGATTTGAATAGAGGCAGATTGCGGACTTCTACTGATAAGGTGCTTAAACCATGAATCTCCACGCTACAATATCGCTTTTCGTTCTCTCTCGCTAACAATAAGAACCGCCACGCTTTGAGCTGCTACGGCTCCACCTCTATACGAATCTGGGATCCAGTGGTAACTCTAGCCTGCAAACATTTGGAAGCACTAGCATGGATTTCCAGCCTTCTACTAGTTTACAAAAACTCAGAAGTGGAAGGCAACCCTAGAAAATGCGATACTTTTGGTCTGACTTGCAGCTCGATTTTCAGCCAAGACTAGCATCTTTATTGAACTCTCGATGTGAAAAGCATATGCGTGAGCACATTCAAGCTTCGTGGCATTTTCTGAATACGGAGCCGATTTTTGCACTAACACAAATTTTCGATCTGTTGGAACTTCACAAGTATTCTTTAGGCGAATGTTCGCAAAACATCTGTAAAAATTACCTTGCTCTAGCAAACGGACCTCAATACAATCCAAAAAGGATGTTACAAAACTTTTGCCAGTACGGGAAAAGTGTGAGGCAACTAACTCGACATTTCCATTCCAGACAGCTAATCATGCTAGGTTAACGCAGCTAAGGGTTATAAGCAGCTATATTATTGAACATGCTAGCTTGTCTATGGATGATAGTGCTTAAACAGTGTATGCTGCGCACCCAAAATCGCAAAAAGACTCAATTTTATCAGAATTTCCAAAAGTTCAGAGTTGTGTTGTAAAATTTCGGACGATAACATACCAAAATGCAACTTCGGAATAGTTCAAAAGTAAATAGAGTCATGTATCTCAGTGTATTTTCCAAGAGTGAAGTTACTTTCGCATAGATAATGCAAAATAGAAAAAGATGCGAACCGCGTTACAAGTTGAACCTTACCTGTATGTGGATTTCGTGCTTCCCCCCAAACTTTGTTTTTCGGTAGAAGCGGATAGCTAGGCAACACATCGTATGCAACATTGTCCATATACCTGTAAATCCATGATAATTTTAACAAAGAGCGAAGTCAGTTCAAACATACCACTTGAATGATTTGCAGTGTAATCTCTCTCGAAGAGCTAATTGAGCTGTTATGTCGCCAGGATCAATCTTTTGTGCTTGAGGTTCGCGAATAAAGTAATACTGATCGTACTCATCCATCCATGTTTTGATTACACGCATCATATTCTGTTTTGAGGATCTCTGTGCATCAGTTCTCTCTAACAATAAAATCATAATCCTACCGTCGAAATGATTGGTTTTCCTGAAAGTTTGCCAAATGTATACGGCATATGAGATCTGTATACATGGCCAACATGAGAACAAGGCACGAACAAAATTCCTCCACCACACTGCCAGATCTAGAATACCGCACATAGGAGCTTCGAGAAGACAAATTCAACGTTTGAGGCTGTGCATTGCAGCCGTGAGACAGACGTCACCGCAATATGACTTGCTATAGCGTACGCAACCCCGTTTTTGAAGCAATCACTGTTCTTACGTTGCGTCCGCGCTGCGTACGGGCAATTTGGACAGTCTTATGACAATATATGCTAGGAAATGCAAAATAACGTGTTTATGAGTGGAGAAGTGTAAAAATGTTATGATGACATTCTATGATACTACCTCACCCGAGCGTCAAATCAGATTTGGCTATGACTCGACAATCGAACAAAAGAGATGCATATGAAACTTTAAATGGTGTACTTTGACCAAACAAAAAACCAACAATGAAGAAAGATGCAAAAAACTTTTAAAACATAAAAGTACCTTGAAACTAAGCTCGTACTGCTCACCACCCCAGATTTGCAGACCTTCATCATAGTATCCCAGCTCTTGGAACCATAGGCGGTCGATTGCAAAAAGACCTCCAGCATGAGTGGGTGAACTAGATCGTTTTTGAGGCGAGACGACTAAGCAGGTTACAAAACCACTCACCGGAAGGGCATGCTGTTGTGTGGTCGGCTCTCCCTTTCTTTTGCAGAAATTGCGGTTTCTTTGTAGAGAAGTCCCCATTCGAAAATTCCACTAAAATGTTCAAAACTACTCGCAGAAAGAAACTCCTATTCCTGTTGAAGTTATTGTACTATGAGTCTCAAGATGGTTCCAGCAACAAAAAAAACTGTAAATCGGAAAAAAATCAATTTCCCTTATTTGTAGAGAAGCGCAAGCCTAGCACATCAACGTAGGTTGAATTGACTGCGCTACTTGCGCTTTAGTCTCACGGTCACTAACATGAGTGTGGGTTGACCTAATGTCGCAAACGTTCTGAGAAGATGTCTAACAGCAAATGCGGTCACCATTCACGTTATGCTATTCCACGTTATGCTCATGGCATAGCAGTGGCAGACCGAGAAAAGCTATTTCTTCCACCCCGAAAAAAGGGTCGCGAAACTTTTGAAAAGGCACACATGTGTTATGAAAGTGTTTGGATGACCCGTTTCCACATGTAAGCAACTGGAATTGATTTTCAGAAATTTTTGGAGTTCAACTTAGTCTTGTAGGGAATTTTTCGGGACCCTTATTTAAAATTCAGCACGATCCGCGAAAACTTTGCAAAACATCCCAAAAACTTATTCCAAGGGCGTGAAGTTAGCCGCCCCCCCCCCCCTCTTATCCGAAAAAAATTTCTATGCCTTCGAGCTAAACCGCGCGGATTTCAAATGCTCAGCTGTATAGTCTGAGCAAGTGCTCTGAACGTATCAAGACTGCTTGCGGTATTTATACGATGATTGTCGCAGTACCAAATCAAGCGGCAATCAAATTGGAGCGACGTCTCTACGATCAGGTAGGATAATAGTGAAGCTAATTCCTTGCTACTGTAGTTGGCTCCTAACTTTCACCTTGTTGCTTGACTATACAGTCATAACCAGTTTACCACGCAGTTACCAACGTATGTAGTAAGATAAATGCACAGCGAAATAAATAGGTAATGACGAGCAATAAGTAGGCAGACACCGGAAAAATTGTCCCATCAGAGCATAGCTCTGCATAGAAGCATAGAAAAAAAGAAAATATGAGCTAAAATCGTGTTCAATATTTCACAACTGAAAAGCTCTGATTCAAACCTGAAATGGCGGTCTGCTTGGCCATAAACACTGCGATATTCCCATGTATTCGCGTCAATGCCATCGATGACCGGGACTGTCATTACACGCCTGAATGAAGAACAACGTATACTTATGCCCGAAACGCCCCTTCAGACCAAACCTACTACTAGAATCTCTGTGATTTCACAGAGAAAGGAATAGTGATGAAGAAGTGTATAGATGAACTCAAGGAACAACCTGTTATGTTTGATAGGTGCCAGAAGTGGAGGTAACCAATTTGTATTAACTTCACAGTGTGCATCAAGAAAGATGACTACGTCTGCAGTAGCATGCTTCGCACCTATCGTACGAGCACGAATCAGTCCTTCCCGATCTTCGGTGCGCACAAGACGAACCTGCACTCGAGTCGTAAAACTTTGGCTTATCGAAACACCATAAAGACCCACCTTTCCATTGAATCTTTTGACGTATTTATCTAATTTCTCTTTCAGATGCTCTGTAAGCTGTAATAAGCAATGCGTAAAACTCGCAAAATCTACATACCTTTACTTGAATAGTCATCAACCATAACGATCTCCTTGATGAGCTGTGGCGGTGACCGAAGCAAAACAGAATGTACAGTTCTTAGCAAGGGCGTCCACCCTTCATTGTGAAAAACAATAACAACGGAGACAGTCGGCAGAGTTTCGGGATAATTCCAGTGCTTACACCTAGACGGCGACAAAGTGATGAGAACAAAATAGATTGGTCAAAACTCACTCTTCCATTCTTATGTCCGGTATTGTACGATTGAGAGAGATCATGTCGCTCACGTAAGTATTGAAACCGTATTCTTCTTCAGCCCTTTTCGATTCCGCCATACCTTCCTCGTCTGTTACGTGTACGGGTTCACCACCTTCCCCTGCAAGACACAGGCCTAGAGTATAACTCTGGTACACAAAAACCTTATATACGAAGCTGAATGTCTGCTTGTATGTATGTACGGTGCCGAATAGAAATTTTTTATGAACCATTTTGGACCAAACTTGGCACACATATACGTCGGGGCGGGGGGGCGTGTCATGCTAGTTTTCTTATTGATCGGTATCGATTCTATCGACTTTTTGCAAAGTTCGAGCTTCGGTGCTGGGAGTTAGCACTAGGTGGGTAAGTGTGCATGCTGATTGCGAATACAGTACTAGTTTCCAAACTTGTCTATTACCTCTATCGATTTTATCGATTTTTTGCAAAGTCTGAGCTAAGAGGCTGGGAGTAGGCACAGAGGGTAAATGAGCATACTGATTACAATAAATATTAGTTTTCGGATTCATCGATTACCTTTATCGATTTTACTCATTTTTGCGAAGCTCGAGCTATGGGGGAGATAGCACAGGATGAATGAGCATGATGACTGCGAATACGATATTAGTTTTCAAACTTGTCTATTACCTCTATCGATTTTATCAATTTTTTGCAAAGTCTGAACTACGAGGCTGGGAGTACGCACAGAGAATAAGTGAGACTGACTATAATACAATATTAGTTTTCGAATTCATCGATTACCTTTAATTTTATCGATTTTTTGCAAAGTCTGAACTACAAGGCTGGGAGTAGGCACAGAGAATAAGTGAGCATACTGACTGTCATACAATATTAGTTTTCGAATTCATCGATTACCTTTATCGATTTTTTGCAAAGTCTGAGCTACGGCTGGAAGTAGGCACAACAAAAATGATTTTACGGGGCTGATATCCCTTTAAAGACGGCTGATATCCCTTTAAAGTTTATTAATGACAAGCTGGCAAACCCGGCTCCGCCCGGTCCTGTCAATAATGTATTCGGATCAGCATGTTCACTTACCCCCCTCCCACCCTGCACACCCTATACACCATGTACACACTGCACACCCTGCACAACCTGCACAACCTGCACAATGTGCACAAACATACAGATTTTCTGCTTTGTATATATATAGAGATTATTTACAAAAAAAACAATAGCTTGTTTTTTATGACTTTTTCAAAAAGCTCGCAATATGTCACAACGGTTAATTCCATTTTTTTGGGAAGATCAGTGCAAGTTGCTTCCAATAAGGACGGTCACTCTATGCCGATTGAAAATAATCTATCTGAACACCTCGCACTATTTTTCAGGCCACACTAGGAAGATGCAGAAAACTTAACTTCCGTAAGAAGAGAGAAGCAGGTGCAAGCTTTTTTGAACTGTCGTAAAACAAGCTACAAAAGACTGGAAACAGACAACTTCATGTTCGCTTTCTCCGCAGATCCCGAACTCTGAACTTTGAAACCGGAGTATTTGAACAGAATATCCCATTATTGCCATGGGTGAAGCTAAAACTGGTTTTTGGGGCCGAAAGGGAGGGAGCCTGTGCGGGGTCAGGAGGGAGGATCGTAAAAACTGCACACGTCATACAAAAGAAGTATCGTTTTAGAGAAGAATGGACGGCGCTATTCGGCTATCCGGGCCCCAAATTTTTTGTCATGTATTTCGCTCAAACTTGGCCTATAGGGGTTATCTGACATGGTGATCACGAATATCACCTTTTCTCTGCAGGAAAACGCCTCCCTGCAGGGTTACGGTAGGTATACGGTGGAGGGTCAAAATCATAGATTTGGCTGAAATTTAGCCTAGGGGGTTATTCGGCCCGCTGACGCCGAATATCACATTGGTTTTGTACCGTAGCGTCATTTTCTCGGGTTACGGTGGGTATACGGTGGGAGGTCAAAATCTCAAAATCCGCTGTAACTTCGCACAGAAGGCTTATTCGACATGCTGATTAGAAATGTCACACTTTCTCCGCACGAAGACGTCTCCCTGCATGGTTACGGTAGGTTTACGGTAGGGATCAAAATCACAAATCGGCAAATGTATCTTCCCTTGTGCTTGGCTTAGGCAACAGCAGAGTGTGTAGCGCGCGGCAATGGTCGTGTGTGCAAAGCTTTACGATCGTCCGAGTCGCCGTACAATCGTTTCAGGCAGAACTATATTTCACACCCGTTACCGTGTAGCAACCGTAACCCGAGAAAATGACGCTACGGTTCAAAACCAATGTGATATTTGGCATCAGCGGGCCGAATAACCCCTCTGGGCCAAGTTTCCGGCAAATCCATGATTTTGACCCTGTACCGTAGTCCTACCGTAACTCTACCGAACGGCGCTGTCGCACGAAATAAACATCATTTTCGTGTTCAGCATGCCAAATAACCCCTCTAGACGAAGTTTCGGACAAATCCGTGATTTTGGCCCCCTACCGTATACCTACCGTAGCCCTGCAGGGAGGCGCTTTCCTGCGGAGAAAAGGCGATGTTCGTGATCAGCATGTCAGATAACCCCCTGGGCCAAGTTTGAGCGAAATCCATGACAAAAAAATTTTGGGGCCCGGATAGCCGAATAGCGCCGAATGGGGACAATGAAATCGCCACGAATAGAAAAATTTATGATTAGAAGCAGGTGACTTTATGTCGGTACAATGCCGGCTGAATTGGTAAATGCAGCTGTAAAATCTTCAACGACGCGGACAGCTTATTTCTGAAACGCCAATCAGCGATGAAATCTCTGCCCCAAACAGCGACGACATGAGACAGGCAAACTTTCAACATGTTTAAATACAGGTAGTTTGTTGAAGTAACAAAAAACCACTGACCTCGATTTGTGGTTTGAAAGAAAGAAAGGAAACGTTTTGAATTACAAAATTTTATATACTAACCTGGCTGACTAGACGGCACCTCAGGCTTCTTTGGTTCATAATTTCCAAGTTCATCGTTCACGAAAACAGTGTTAGGATCAACACCTCCGGCAAGCTCGGTAGATTTCCACGCTTCCGGGAGAGGCACAACGGCTTCTTTCTCAGGAGAAAAGACCTTAAATAAGTAATATATGAACGTGAAACAAATTATACCCATCATCAGAATGATCACAACAAGTGTTGTGGCAATGTGAGGCAGCAAGCAGTCTTGTCAGAAGCAGCGAAGGAGGGGACAATCCGCTTAACCGCCATAAGCCTCGGCGCTATTCCACATTAGTGGACCCAAGAATGAAAATCGCGGATTTCGCTGAAGCTTCGTCTAGAGGGGTTATTTTGCACGCTGATTACGAATCTCACGCTTATTTCGCACGGTAGCCATTGGTGGAATTACGGTAAGATTACAAAGACAATTTCACGGATTTGCCGCAAGCCTCGTCTAGGGGGTTACTTGGCAAGCTGAACATGACCATCATATTCACTTCGTACGGCAGCGCCATTTTTTCGGGTTACGGTGGGTATACGGTAGATGGTTAGGAATCCCGAATTTGCTCAAAACTTTGCCTGAAGAGCTTCTAAAGCATGCAATTACAAATATCATGCTCGTTTCCTTAAGAATGCCTTATTCTTAAAGTTACGATGAGCTACAGTGCGTGAAAGACCAATTCTCCCACTTTTCAGCACGATTTAGCTCCCAAAAATCCTTGATAAAGCTTTATCAAGCGAGACGAGTACGATATACGTGATCAGCACGTCAGATAACACCCCTGCGCAAAGGTTCGAGCTGACCTATCACTTCAGCTACCTATCCTACACCTATCGTAATTCCGCGAAGTCCCAAAACATGAAAAACAAAAAAGCATGATTTCGTAATTAGCGTGCTTAGGAGCCCCTTAGGCAAAGTTTTTAGCACATTCGGGCTTTTTAGCCACCTACCGTATACCACCGTAACCCGGAATATAACGCTACCGTAAGAAATCATGTTTTCATGTTCGGCGTGCCAAATAAACCCCTTAGGCGAAGTTTGGGGAAAATCGGCGACTTTGACCCCTACCATTTACCGTTCCACCAATGCTGATTAACAATCTCTCAACAATCTCTATAGGGGTTAATTTGCATGCTGATTAAGAATCTCGCACTTATTTTGCACTAACGTGCAAAATAAGTGCGAGATTCTTAATCAGCATGCAAATTAACCCCTATAGAAGAAATTCAGCGAAATCCGCGATTTTCATTTTTTGTGTCAACTAATGTGGACCTATACTACATTAATGATATATAGGTACATATCACCGGCTCCACGATTCGTGTAGAGGCGGGGTTTTGCCAATTCAAAGCGTGGCGGTTTTTGATAGCGAGAGAGTACAAAAAACAATGGTATGACGTGGAGGTTTAACAAGTTTACCTGTGTTACTAGGCAAAGTCTGCAATGCACCTCTACACGAATCGTGGAGAAGATCATTTTTGTAGATAGCAATGGTCAGTGGCAATGAAGGGTGTTGAAGGAAGCAACAGTGAAAAAAGATGAAACCAGGTGATGTGAAGATAAAGCGCTAGACAAGTAAAATAAAGAGATATAGATGAAGGTAGTATACAGCCAACATGCATTCTTCCACATTAAATTCTAATTGGAAAGCTGCTTCACTCACCTTACGACGATCCTGGAGGCGCGTAATCACAAAAATGACGGCGAATAAACCCAGCGCAAGGAAGATAAATCGACCTAACCTGAAAACACATTATCTCCGCAGACATCGCGTGAAGGACTTAATTCTTTCTCTAGATTCCTACCTCATACGAAGAAACCATTGCAACTCGATGAGTCTCCTTCTCAAGGTCATTCTGTCTTTCTCGACTTCGTCAGATCGAAAACAAGCCGAGAATGAGGTTAGGCAGAACTAGAAGTACTACTTCAGACTGTTGGATAGACTGACCGCAATGTTTTCTATCCCTAGAGCGACGAATCACTTCTGCCACAGAATCGAAGTTAGAAAAAAGCGAATTGATTTCGTCAGGAATGTGCGACGTGTCAAGCGGGGCTCTGCGAAAGCTCGTCCCAATCGAACACTCGCCTAAACCACGTCTACGCTCAAAGCGGTCAAATCGAAAGTGTTCCCAGACCAAAAGTAAACAAAGAAATTCTAGACACTGTCTCTCCACATTCCTATAGTTTTTCGTTGTCTTGCAGGAATTCCTTCATTTCTGGTCCGCAAAGCACATTTAGGAGTGGTGGGTCGTTAAAAAAAAGAGAACTCAACGGCGTTGAGCTTATCCGGTCCACCCATTCGCCCATTTAAATTGGTCAATTAACCAAGCAGCCAAAGTTTAGCTCTGCTCCCTGTCTGAGGGAGATGAGAAACCACATTTCAAATACAGGCGTAAATTGAGTAGTGCACGTAGTTACACCAAGCCCCATTATTGACGCTTGCCATTTGGTGCGTTGTCGAGGCCGTACAGCGGTGATCTATACGAACTTTCGTAGTCACCGGCAGCCAACTCTTTGACTTTTGCAGGTTTTGTCATCCCCCTTTTCATTGCCCTCATCTGATGATTGAGTCAAAAATTGCAAAGAACCGCTTTCTGGAGATCTTTTTTGGCAAGCGCGGACGAGTGCAACAAAGCAGGCACTGACTTGACAAGTAAGCGTTTTGGCGTGGCGAGCACAATCGCTACAAAGTAGATATCTATGTGTATCGATCAAGCTTTGCTTAAAAGCGTTCAAAGGGAAGCCGCTGGAGGGGCGGAATGTCCACATGGGGAAGGGGATTTCTCGCTTTTGAAGCAACGTCTTAGCTCAACTTGGGCACTTGACTAATCTAGGGGCTCGTCGTCGTCTAGCATCAACATCTTATCATCCCTACCTTGGGGTGATGGTGCCTCTAAGGCACGCGCCGTGCTTGGTCCGCTTGATTCGCTTCACTATTGGTAAGCTCACTGAATTGATCAATGATGAAGCGGATCAAGTATGGCGCGTGCCTAAGCACGATTAAGTTGGCGTTGACAATCTGTGCAAAACGGTTTCGATTCTTTCATTTGAGGGATGAACGATATATTATTCTGGCTTATTGCTCCCCACCATTCCATCTTTTGATTATGCGATGAAGACACGCTGTCGCAGTGAACCGAGAATCGTTCTGGAAGTGGAAGTTGCAAAATGGGAGTTGGAAGTTTGTTTATGATCCTAGGCATGAAAAAGCCCTATCCTTAGGCTGCGTTCACGCTGATGCCGAAGTCGGGAACGGTTCCAGCACATCGCCCGAACTGAACGCTGTGCTGGAACTGTTCCCGAACTTCGGGATCAGTGTGGTAGGTGCCAGAGTTAGCGAATATTTTGTTCAAGTTGGGGTCCCGCGCAGAATTGACATCATTTGGAATGACGCCAGCATGGCGAGAGACGTCAATTCTGCGCGGGACCCCAACCTGAACAAAATATTCGCTTAGGCACCCGCCATACTTACCCCTCTTGATCCGCTTGATCCGCTTGATCCGCTTGATCCGCTTGATCCGCTTGCTCCGCTTCTTGCAAGACGCGTATAAAACGCGCGCACTCAGCAGTCTGTCATTTGGCGCCGCGTAGGTAAAAAGCAATCTCGTATGATTAGGCAAATTCGCTGTACGTGACGCCAAATGACAGACTGCTGTGTGCGCGCGTTTTACACGCGTCCTGCAAGAAGCGGAGCAAGCGGATCAAGCGGATCAAGCGGATTAAGCGGATCAAGCGGATCAAGAGGGGTAAGTATGGCGGGTGCCTTACTCTGGCACCTGTCTGTGACGTAGCCGTGCCTTCAGAGCGCGCTCGAGCCGCCTATACCCTCTTAAAGGCAGTGTCCGGGCAAGATGGGGGTTTTGAGATTTCTCTGCCATGTGAGACTGGCCCCCCTGAGACACAACATCGCGCAACTGCGAGCATAAAACGTTCGACCTAAAGCAAGAAAAACAATTGCAAGGTGGGGAAACTTACGCCTCGGGGCGGGGTCCTCCGAGCTGTTTGAATTCCTGCCAGACGGCAGAGTACGTATGCCGCCACAGTTAAAAACCGTGCGCTCTTTGCAACTCTGCGTCTTAGCCTGGCGGGGATCCTCAAATTTCGAAATGTAAGGGCTTGGAAAATGCATGTTCTCGCCGTTTTCGTGCTTTCTGATATGGATTTTCGGATTCAGCGTTGCGGATAACCCCAGATAAGTTGATTTTTTAAAAGTCGAGTTTTTGCCCGGACACTGCCTTTAAAGCCGCCGAATGAAGAATGAAGGAAACAAGATATGCCGGGAAACTGGCGTTTTGGCTCTCTGTTATGTTTTTAGGACATATAGAAACACATCAATTTGCGCTTCGCACGACCGTAATGCTTTCAGTCAGGAACCGCCGCGCTCGACACCCTGCGGCTGCTTTTGCCTAGGCAAAGCGTAGGAGAAGGAAAGTTATGCCGCGTGAATAACAAGTTGAAACAATTGTCTCACTTGACTCACCTGACTTGAAGTCATCAGGGTGGCGCTGCAGATTGGGCTGCGCGAAAAGACCGTCTCCCGAAATGACCGCCTAAACTCGTGCCAACCTCTGGCTATACTGGCGTTCAAGGCACGTCATGGAAATTTGTATTCGTACCTGTACATATCGTTTGTCATCCGGCGAACTTCCCATAGGTATAAGCGGCCCAGATTCGTATAAAGGCGGAGTCCGCTTACTGCTAATATAGATAATCTTTCGAACTTTCACACTATAGCATTATTTTTTCAAACTCTCTCGCTAGCAAAAACCGCCACGCTTTGAGCTGCCACATCCCCGCTTTTATACGAATCTTTGATCCGATGACACATAACGGTTTTAGTATGTAAAACTAAAGGATGTAATGTTTGCAGCGTTTTCAGTATGTCTGCAGTTGCAGTGTTTAGTTCCACCTTCCCTTTTTTTCTCTGTGTATCATGATCAATCTTCTTTGAACCCTCGCTTTATAGTTTTTGTTTCAGACAGAAATTGCCTTTCAATGTTGCGAACATTGCGAAGGCTTGCGACAAATCATTGTCGAACGGCCACGACATCCACAAAAACAGGTATTTCTCCAGTTTTTATCGGTAGTGTCTTCAATTTTCGACTTTAGAAGTGGTGAATGCTCCATACGCTGAGTTGAACAGCGAATTATTTGATGAGGTTCAAAGTCGCGTTAACCAACATGGAAACACTATCGACAAGATCATAATAAGCTTCATTGACAGAGATGGCTCTAAAAAAGATTACCTCATGAACAGGAACATTTCCACTCCATATGACTGCGCAAGACGTGAGTGCGTACCTTATTATTTCTTAAAATATAATGAGGAGTTTTTGTCCACGTTCATTGTTTAGATGTGAACATGTTGCTCGCTAAACGCGCGGTGTTGGCTCTTACATCTTACGGAGGAAGTACGCCACAACTAGGTTGTATGAATGAGTCGTTTCGAGACAGATGCAACTTAGAATTTATCGATTTTCAAAGCGAGATTTATGCTACGGAACTCAATAAGGTTAGTCCTTACTGTAGTATCTTTTTATTTATTTTTTAGAGTGTGCTATATCTACTGATATTTCCGCGAAAGATAGTTTTCTTCTCGTTCGCGGTTAGCTCAGTGCATTTTCAAATCTCAGTCACCTGTCAGGGACCCGTCATACTTCGCCGAAAAAAAAAGCCCGAAAGAGCCGAAACGTCCCTTCCGTTTTGACGCTAAGGGGTGTGTGTTAATTTCGCAACCGAGTCTTTTTGCTTCATTTTCTGTCTTCTGCATATTAAAATAATGTAAGAATTCTACCAAAAGTCCTCTGCGCTCCGGGTCTTTCGGGCTTCTTCCGGTTTTTTGGGCTTTTTCGGGCTTTCTTGGGCGCTTTTGGGCTTTTTTCGGCCGAGTATGGCGGGTCCCTCAGATTTCGCTCAAAAGCTCCCAAGAGCGCCCAAAAATCCTCGACAACCAAAATTCCTTTGATCTTTCTTCATAAATCGCTGATCTTTCTTTCCTCATACACGTAGATGAGGGAAATGTAAGGAGAGAAGGCAGTGGATCGGCAAAATGGACCTTTCTCGGATTTTGGTGTGTTCAGATTGTAAACCGGCCAAGTACACTGTAGCCCAAACCCTACAGGCCATCGAGCACTAAATCCTGAAACACGTGCTTCAAAACGGGTGTATGTCAGGAGGCGCGATTCCTGCCAGATGGGCAGCAGATAGCACATATTCAGTGTTTTATGAAGTTCCAGAATTGTTTGAAATTTTAAAAGAAGTTTATTAGAGAATCGCAGGAATTGTTCGATCTTATCAGCTTAAAGGCAGCGTCCAGGCAAGTCTGGACACATGGGGATCTCACGTGGATAGTAATTTTGGGGCCTCAACTAAGCCACTGCCCAACCGGCAGCTCAGGTAGTGCTCTAACGGCTGAGATATTTCCCTCGGAACTGGACCCCGCAATCGTATTTCGCATGGATTCATGGCGATAAGCATGTGTCCTGGGGCGAAACTGCCATGACTCCATGCGAATACGATTGCGGGGTCCAGTTTCGAGGGAAATATCTCAACCGTTAAAGCACTACCTGCGCTGCCGCTTGAGCAGTGCCTTAGTTAGGGCCCCAAAAGTACTTTCCATGTAAGATTCCCATAGGTCCAGATTTGCCTAAACGCTGCCTTTAAAATCGGTCCAAAACAAAATTGTTGAAGGTCAAAAATCCATGAAGATGCAGTTTACAGCAATTTTGTGATTATTTCGGTCAGTTTTCTAGCAAAAGTCGTCGAATATCATAGGGTTACTTCAAACACCTAGTAAGCCGATGGACTTTGCCCGGCACTTTTTGAACACTCGCATAGCACGAAACTGAAGTTTTAAAGGCAGCGGACAGGCAAAATGGACCCCTGTCAGATTTTGGTAGTTTCGGATAGTGGACCCCCCAAGTACACCGTAGCCCCAACCCCACATTCCAGTTCATGCGCTAAGTCCTGAAAAAAGCGCTTCAAAACTCCACCAGCCCCGCCCACTTCCATTGAGTGGGCGTTATTGGTGGAAGTTTGAAGCGCTTTTTTCAGGACTTAGCGCATGAATTGGAATGTGGGGTTGGGGCTACGGTGTACTTGGGGGGTCCACTATCCGAAACTACCAAAATCTGACAGGGGTCCATTTTGCCTGTCCGCTGCCTTTAAGTTGGTGACAGCCAGAAAAATCGCGCCTCTTGACCTTCTCCCCTTCAAAACTACACTCCCTCCCACTTAATGGAAGTGGGCGGGGTCGGTGGAGTTTTGACGCGGGTTTTCCAGGACTTAGCTCATGAACTGGGGGTTGTGCTACAGTGTACTTGGGAGGGGGGGGTCTGAATCTACCGAAAGTTGAGAAGAGTCCATTTTGCCGATTCACTGCCTTCAAAGGCTTTAGTGCTTTTGGTCTGACAGGTGCTTGAAGGTTTCGTTTTTCCATGTGATGGTGCGCAATTTTGAATGCCTTCCTGCATTTACTCTAAAACTTCCTCTGTTATATGAATATTTGCTGGTACACGCTGAGATTATCCGCAGTTGAATAGGAAAGGGGCCGGGGGAATGCATTGCTGCAGCTTTTGTCGATTTTGTGACTGTCATAGGCAACTGAAAACCATAGTAACTTTAAACTTATCTATTTCTTTTTCTAGGCTTACTGGAGGTCGTGTAGCATAATCCTAGCAGCTGTTTTGACGGAAGGTCTCAAAAACAAGATCTCAATTTCTGACTATCACAATGAAGGTGACTACCAGTTTTTTTTTTGAAACACCATTCCCCTACCTTCTTTTTCCAGTGAGCGATTCCTTCTTCGGAGTTGATGTCAGTGGTTTGACAAAGTCTTTGACTCAGGTATTTTTTATTTCGAATGTCTGACCAAGTTCTTGCTCGAGTCGTTTTTAGTCTGATCTCAGAGACTTATCGTCTTTCGCCCGTTCTGATTTCATAAGTAGGGGTATACCATTTGAGACCGTGTCGCTTTCGTCAGAAGTGGCCAGAGATTATGGCTTAGGCTCAAGGTCAGCCGATTTTTTAATATTCTCATCTTCCTAATTCATGATTTTACGGAAGGACTAAGGTTTATGTCTCTTTTTTTATGTGTTTGCTCAATGTGGTCAGTCCCTATACGCTTACAGCTCTCTTCTGTGTCGATTTGGTAATTTTGTTGCGCCTATCAGTGGGCCAGTGATATCACGATCCGATCAAGTTGGTCGATTTGCTATAGTCAAGGTAACTGACTGTTATCTATGCATTAGTTGCAAAGCTACTATGTTGTGTCGTCAGTGATCATTGCATTATAGGCTCGTTTAAAGGGTAACACTACGCTTGTAGGAGGAGTTTCCATCCCAGAAGCGCAAAAGACATCATCATTTCTTTGGGAGAAAATAATGGAGAATGCAAGTGATGTTAGTATACGCTTCTCATGCGCTTTCGTAATAACGTACCATCTTATTCCACCCGTCTCTAAATGACTTTGCAGAAAATTGGAGAAAACGGAGGAAGCTGATCTGAAGATTATAGTTTGTGGTTTCTCAACGAGATAGATCATTTGCCATTCAACGAGTCACAGATGAAGATTATAATCTTAAATTTCGTTGTATCATTGTTAGCTCATAATGATCATTTTGGACAACAAATCTATTCTTTTAATAGACGAGATTTGCGAAGTCCGTCATTGGCCCATAGGCGACCAAGAGACACGAGAAAATCCAATTTGATGTGGTCTTTCCTCTTTCGGGATTGACTGTTGAACTAAGTCAGTTTTGATGCCGCCTAATTCTATGGAAAGGCTTACTCATATTTTTTTTGGTGAGTGAAAAAACGAAAACGCAACCAATAGGCGGCGCCTTCGCGGGCTACTGGTCCTTTACTCCATTCTCTTTCTAATTTTTCCTCTCACAAAAAAGCACTTCAACATCGAAATGATCTTTTATTAAAACTCTGTAAAATTAATCTTTTGATTTCTTATCACAATTTGTATTTTTTGGCCACTCTTTTCGTGGCCCTAGGTAGTCATATGTCTTCTTCGTCATCGCTGTCTCCGCGCTTTGGCAACATGCGCTTCTTATCGCCGTCGATTTCGCAGGTGAGGCGGGATAGACGATATCGACGAAATCTTCTAGAAACTAGCTATTATGATAATATGTTGGGGGTTCTAGCGAAAAAAGACTTTACCGTGCACAACTTCGGATAGCAGCTTTGACTATTTGATAGATGGCAACAGCTACGATAGCAGAAAGCACCCCAATCATTGACGGAATCACCACATTTCGATGATATGGCGTACTCTGTAATCAGGGACCGTAATCATCAACGAACCCAATGGGTTTCGCTACCCAGCGGGTAAGCGAAAACAGTGCCGCTGAGTTGGATCGATATTCACTAAAAGCATTGCTGGGTTCGCGAACTCACTAGCTTCGTGAATCGACCACATGTTTTGAATGTTTGCCAATTCTGAAGGAATCTTACCATCCAAACGTCGAAGTCCTTTCGCATGACTTGGTAGTTATCACGCAAGTGGCCAAGTTCAGTGGCAATGGTTTCTCGTAGGCCAACATGCTGATTGAGGGCAGTTGTGTTTGACGAGGCTGTGCTAAAGAGGAATTGACATTTAACCATGATTGTGAAGCAAGGAAAGAATTTGATGAATCCAACTACAGTTGTAGGTCCCAGCAGAGTCGTAAAGTTGTCGAAAGTGACTCAAAAAAAAAACTAAAATTCGCCATAGCGTTGCTTTTCTGCTGGTCTGTGCTTACTAATAGATATTTAGGAAGTTCATCTAATCAAGTCTTCACGGCTCGGGCTTGGAGATCGAGAAATTTAGCACACACCTACCTTCTCCCCCCCCCCCCCCCTCCCTCCCCATCATAGATAAAAACAGTCTGAAAAGGTGTGTGACAGTTCAATGTGGATTTCTGAAACTCCCTTAAACTCTTAGCTCCCTTAAAGGCAGTGTCTCACCAAAGTTGAGGTCGCCGGATCTTCACATATTATATTATAGGGACGTTTAAACAGGCCATTGCAACGAGTTCCACTCAATTTGACCCCCTCTACGCTGAAAAAAATTCGCTCAAAGTGGTACGCGGAGATCGAGTTGGTACGCGCGGACGACTCCTTCGGCCTCTTCCCTTACGCGTTGAACATGTCCCTCCACTTGGCATCCACCTCCCCTCTGTTGCTGCCACTGTGGCTGAGGCTGAAGTTGGAAGGAACAACTCGTCCACGTTGTTTCCACGGGACCTTCAGAAAACGGGGTTTTTGGGAACTTCGTGCGATTTTAAGCCCATACAGTACTAGACAAGGTCCGACAGACATGCAAAATGCCAAAATCTCGACAATTAAATTTTGCTGAGACACTGCCTTTAAACTCAGCATTTCATAGGGTGTTTGCCTAGATCTTGACATCCTCCATTGTTCCTTCACTTGTTTTCCATGAAAAAACGCTCAGGCTCTCGTATACATCATTTGTAGGGACATCAATGTGATGTTGACGAAAACTATGTTTTAATGCAATATGATTCATTCTATTGCTTTTCTCAGTGGAGAAAACGCGTTATAGAATTCATGCATGTTATGTAAATGTGTAGACAGTGCTTTCTCGAATACACGCAGGCAACTGTCGCTAAGGGAGATGTAGGTGGGGGCGGAGGGGGGGGGGGGGGGGAGCGGAGGTAATTTGATTAATCAGAAGATATTCGCTAATTAGGGTTTTTGAAACGCTGCGAGAACTTCCCCTACTTTTTTGTCTAATCTTTCCTTTACCCTCTAACAGTGGCGGTCGAAGGAAGAGGGAGCCCGAATATGGGTCGCTAAATTCTTGGAATCCGCTGGCATGAGTTATGGAAATGTGTTATTTATCTTACTTGTAAGCAATGATAAGAATTGTCTGAAATTCCTTGAAAATCCATATTATCTTTGCGTTTCTCAAAACTTCTAGTATGGAGTTCACAAAAGTGAGAATCTCAATTATTGTTTTCAGAAGGCTTGAACGGCACATTCATTTCTTCGAAGAGAATTGTTGTCCCTCCTTCCCCGAAAATAATTTCTTGCGTCGTCAACGCGCTCTGTCCATAGCTGCTTATTCGAATGTGTACAAGACGACGACAGGCTACATATTTTGTTTTTTGCCATCAAAATCAAGCTGCGCCTCAATTTTCGGCTAAACTTGAAAATTTAGCCCTTATTGCAACACAAGCAGAAGCGATCAGGACATATAATCCGGATTTTTATGTTCCCCGTATTTTGTAATAGCACTGTGAGATAAACGAAAATGTTGCAAATTTACTCATTGGTCATCTCTAAATGTTAGCTGTTTCTTGATTTTGCGATGCGACCAGATAATCCGAACAAATTCAATATATTGAGTTTGTACCGAGGCAGTCCTCTCGTACGTTAACAAGCTTCCTCAATTTGCGAGCTGTTGCTGTAAATCAGCGATATAAAAATTACTGATTGCTTATGATCAAAGGAGGAAGAAACGAGTAACTTTTCACTATGCCCTCCAACTAGCGCAGCACTGACTTGGGACACAAGTTATTACAACAATTCACCAATCCTCTTTGGAAATCACATTAATTATTCGCAAAAACTTAATAAATTGTCATAAACCAGCGAAGACATGTTTTTCGAATTTTTTCGGAACCTCAAAATGAAAGTGTAAATTACCTGTTGACTGTTACCAGATTTTGTGTCAATGCAGTAGTAGTGGAAGTAGTTGTCGTTGGGGCGATACGAACTGTGAGTGTTGGTCTGGTTGTTGGTAAGCCATTGACAATCGAAAAAATGAGAATAACGAGGAAGAAGAACATTCTGTAACAAATTTTCTAATTTGTTAAACGATTTGTTCAATTAAAAAAGCTTACCCTATACGAAGCCGTTAAGACAGCTGAAGAGTCGGAAAAAAGGCGGAAATAACCCTAGAATAGACGGGCCCCACATTTTGCCGCCAATCCTCATTTTGATCTCAGCTGATCTATTCCTACAGACATTTCCAGATTCATTTTTGTTAGTCTCCTTGTCAACACTATTGTAATCATCTTTATTTTCGTTCTCCTGCATCAGAACACATTCGTTTCAGGATTTTTCAAGATTTAAAGAAATCATCAGAATCATAGACTTCTTCATGAAAGACTGGCAATGGCCACAAATCAATGATAGACTAAATAATGCTCAGTTCTAGATCGACTCTATATACATACATACAAATTCACTTCAATAATTTAACAATTTTGGGTAATTATAATAAGAGATCAAATCTATCTACCACCGCTTAGGAACTTGTTAAGAAAGCCTTGAGCGAATTCACCTCCAACGAGGCTGTTGATTTGACTCAGGATGACGAGTGGATTCTGAATTAAGGGTTTAGAATGTGTTCTTTTTCTGGTAGATTACTAACATGGAAATATTGGCATAATTACGCGATTCAGTGAAAGTCACCGAGCAGAAATCAGAGTTTTATTGAGTTGGGAAAGAGTTAGTTAAGTGATTGAGAAAGTGCCCCACAGTCTGTACATTCCTTACTCTCTTGTTCGGATTGGTGTTTTACGAGGCTGCTCCGTTTTCTTTTCTGTCCAAACAAATTCTTTTTGAAGAAAAGATAAAGCTGCAGTAAATTACAATTTTGTGAACTAGTCATGTAATTTTAAAGCAATTCGGTGATTAATGTGTCTTGACTGGGTGCGGTCCAATAGATGATGAATATTAAAATGGTTTTGTCCAATAAATCAAGCTGTATAAGCATAATTTGCAAATACGTTATCTAAACGTAAAGTTGCGGTTTTGAGACTCTATTGTTATCCAGATTTGTCTTTCCGATGCTTTCATTCTGCGGATTTGTTTTCCAAAATCTTTGCTGCGGATTTGTTGTAAAGAAGTTCGTTTGATGTGATTAGAACTCTTCTACTTCTCTTAACTCTTTACTCTCTTCTACTTCTTCTCTTTCATCTATAAGTATTTTCCATCTATGGGGACGCAGATAGGTAACACTGATATTAGCTTTGCAAAGTATTGCTCTTATAAATCTCCGTGCTTTTTCTCTTTGCGGTAGTTCATGCCCATTAAAGGAGTGATACTCAAATCTGTGATATCAAACACGCACAAGCTCTTGGTATGCATGAAAATGTGCGCTGCAGTTCGAATTTTTCCATGGTTCTAAATCTGACCAAAGTCAGACAAATAGATTCTGACCCCCTCACTAGCATTTTTGGAGAACTTCGCCATTAGAGGTGTTCCTTATCACTGCTAGTAGTGATAAGGAACACCTCTAATGGCGCATCACATCCCTGCCTTTTTTTGGTCGGATCTCAACTGAATCAAACCTGATCGACTAAGCCAGAAACTTCTTCGCAGCGTTTCATTGCTCGTTGCAGTTGAGCTCCTATTTGCAACGATTCGAGAATGTCGCAATTTGAGATTGCTTTTCTTAGAGCACCACATTGCTGTCGTTCTGCTCCTCGTTTACAGGTTTCTTGGCTGGAAGGAAGCCGGTACAAATGAAATTTTGATGTTTTTTAAATTGAGTAGTTATGTTGGGTTGGCAAACATACAGTTCACCAAATACGCAAAGAATGAAGAGAAGCCTTCAAATGTAGTTATATGTAGTTAACAAAATATATTTGCTTTCTGGACTAAAAGAGTTTTACACTAGCTCATGGCAAGCTCTGTGTACTTAATTAGTCAGACTGTCTACCCAAAATCCCAAAGTTATTTTTTATTCGAAAGCTCACCTTGCTTTAAGAAGATCGATTTGACCTGTCAAAATGGCACTCTTCAACTCGTCTCCCCAAGCATCGAATGCCTTCTCGTCAGCCACTTTTTGACAATCACCATAAGCTGCTTGCATGAATTCGGAGAGGAATGGCAAACATCCTGAAGAATGGTGGAGTTTTTTATTTTTTAGACAATTTCCAGTTGAATTATGGAAAAAATTTTGCATAATGTGGTTTTTACAAACATTCTATGTTATCAGTAGTGTCTTTGCTGAGTTGCTCAATTATAAATTAGTTTGGTGCAAAAATAATATTCGTAGTCTATGTTACCAAGGCATGCGAATATAGAAGGTTACGGTATGGGACAACATTCGACAGATTGAAGCAAGCTTTACAAAATGACAACAGAATCTACCTTAATCTTTGAGGACCGTAAAATCTGAAAGCGAAAGCTGTAAGCATTTGATATGCCGAAAGTTGGATCTTTGCCCGAATTGAGGAATTTGTGGAGATTCCCAGTTGTCATCACATAACAATTATGAAAATATGCATCTATGCACTTGCTGTGAATTTTTGACGCTTAGAATCTCGGAAATACACGATAAACGGAAAATGGCAAACTCCGCCCTGAACAATGCAAATTTTCTCCAACCTAGATGTCGTATACTACAAATCACTGGAGGCATGGCTATGAAATCCCAGCCTAGTATGTGCTTTGGTTTTCGAGAAATTAATTTTAGCATCACGAACCTGTAAGCTGCGGACATTATTTTTGCATCAATCTAATACAAATCCATTACTACTCAAAGGTGAACTGTTATGTCAATATGAGACCGTTAACATTGTCGTCATTACTAACTCGCTACTTTGTAGCACTTTAAATAACAACTTAAACATACCTGGACCTTTTTTTAATCCAAAGTTATTGTTAGCACCTGGTAAGAAATCGCGAATGCCGCCGAAATCCAGCGGCTCTGAATCTAAAAGCGATCTAGACTGGCAAAAAACATTCTAATTTCAAATAACCTGGGTTCGCGCTTGGAGAAGAGATGCTGTTGCCACTTCCAAGTGAATCTCCTTGCCTAGTACCACCTTAAAATGAGTATTAGAATGAAATATTGTTTGAATGAAGGAATGAACCTCCAAGGAATGTGGAAGCCAGCCTGACAAAAGGATTCTGGTCGAGAGCACTATATGGCTTGGATATGACAGGCCGAGGTAGTTCGACGGTGTCTCCAACAGACTGAAGTTGGAGGTGCAAAATATATAATGAGTGTAAAGAAATATGATTTTGTTGCGAAAAATAGATTGCTAATGATATTTGGAAAAATTACCTTAAGGTCGCTGGACGGGAACACTACTGCGGTCTTTTCTGCATGTGTGGGTACACCACTTTGAGTCGCGGGGAAGTGACGCACATCGGGTGAGAAGAGATCTGTAAACATTTTTGTGAGAGTGAAGAAGATTTCTCATCCTATGAAACTCAACTGCTTCGATTTACAAATATAGCACAAATGCAAGGAAAAAATTGCGAGATGGAAATATTAGATTGACTAAAAAATAACAGACAGTTAGTCTTGACAAAATTCAGATTGTTATTTAGCCGAGATTTTTTGCGAGGAGACATTTCCAAGCTTTTGAGTGCATATAGATTTGATTTGTTCTATAAGTAATAAAAAATGGCTAGTTCCATTATGACCAGTTCCAAAAACACCCTCTCTGGTCAAATTTCGTTTTCATACAGTAATAAATGCAAAGATGAGTAATCTGGTGAGTACGCACAAGCTTCGGCTAATTAGCAAGCAGCAAAAATTTGTGATTTTGAAATTCTGTAGTTAGAGATACGGAATTTTTTCTGAGTGCCACAAAACCAGGGTAGCTCACTTTCTTGTGCTTTTTCTTTATCAAAGATTTTTCCAGTCAAATAGGATGCATCATTCGATTTTAGTTGAAGTTCTTAGAAGAAACAAATCTGTCTGCAAAATTATCACACTCCACCAAAACGACCGGAACCATTCTTTTAGAAATATTAAGAAATACTAATGAGAATAATAATAAGAAGAATAAGAAACTAAAGTAACAAATGGAAATATTTCGAACCAAATTTCGGCTCACTTCGCATTGAATTGATGGGCTTTATAGCTAGCGGATTGTCGCCTAAATTGGGACTATGTAATTGGAATACTTTTGAAAGTGAATTATGAACTTGACACCTCTAGGCATTCCGAATCCCCCTCCAAAATCTGGAAAGAGTTTTGGAGCCTCTGTAGTCGTCGTTGACGGCGGCGTCGATGGCAAATTGCCCTGCTCCAACGGAGCAAACGCCTTCAACAAGGAAAGTCGCGACTGTGTCGTGACATCGGACACAGCTAAACGAGGCAAAAACATCAGGAAGAGCTAGCAGAGGATTATAAATCTACCTTGCCCAAGTATCTGCGATGGAGGCGCTCCTAACGAAATCTCTCGTGGTTCTTCAACAGTCTCTCTGCAAATATGTCATTCATCACATCAGTTAAGGAGCATCAAGGCTAGAAGCTTCCGTAATGGGCAAGAGTGGTAAACTTAGCAAATGAATGGAAGATTTCAGGAAATTTCGAAGCCGGAGTACTTGCGCTTAGAAAGAGTGTAAACAATCGAACCTTGTATTACTTTTACAGGTGTCTACGCAATGAGTGCGCAATGAGTTCCTCATTTATCAACATGTAATAAGTATGATGGAATGATAGCCATTGCCGAATGGCCTTAGCAAAAGAAGTTTCGAAGCAGTAAGACTCACTGAGAAATCATTTTTTGTAAAATTAAAAAACACGTTGTTTGCAATTGTGGTTTTTCCGAGCGCTTCAGGGTTAGATTTATAGGGAATGAGATTTCCCCAACTTTCTTCGCAGGGCATAATTACAACACTTCCATCCTATTGCAAAAATAATTGTTCCCTTTTGAACTTTGTAACTGATTTTACCAACGCAAATTTATAGGAGACACAACAATGTGAAATGCAACAGACATAAATCATGGTGATCGTTCGGCAATCAGGCTTGAAGTCCTGAGGATACGCCTTTTTTTCCAAAAATAATGCAGGAATTTCCATCAACCCAGATTTTAAGAAACTCGAGTCGTTATAAACATGCATACACGGCTCAAGTGTGTAATATTAGGTCTGGACATCTAGCATTTCTTGCTTTCTCACTTGATTTAATTGGAGAATTTTTCCTTAACTTTTGTTGCCTTTTCCAGTATCAGGCTTGACCAATGTACACCTTTTGTGTCCGTTGCGCTGGAATCTACTATTAACTGGTTTGTAAATGTGATACCCTGGGCTGTAAAGCAATTTGCAGCAACATCCGTGCTGACCTCATTACTCGATTTCGCTGATTTTTGCAATATAATTGGCACCTCTCCTTATTGGATTTCTAATTCGCTTATCTAGTGTAAAAGCTAGTTAATGTTTCTATAGTCGCTAAAAATGGATCCTTATTTCTGCGACCGATATGAGAAAAATCTGCAGTGTAATAAATTCCACAAATTAATTCAAGATGTGAAATTTTTTCAGCTATGAGCAAGTTTAATTAAAGCAGGTAAATCCAATTAAGAGTTAGACGATGAACACCAGTGAATAGAAAAGTCGTCTTTTGAGACATGTCAGTTTTTTGCAAAGAGAACGTTCCAATGTTTGAAAAACAACTGGTTTCTGTCAAAGCTGATTTTCTAACAATTTTAGCAAGTTTCCAGTCGTAGTCTGCTGTAAATGAGCCCATGATTTCAGAAAAGTAAAAAAAAATATTTGATGCTATTTTGTTGGAAGACCTATGAAGGTTACTTCCAACTTTATTCATCACATAAGCAGAACCTGCTAGTGACGCAATCTCCCATGACTAGATTTCGCTCTGCTAAATCCGTGTAATTCGGAGACGTCTAATCAACCTATGTAGCCATCGCTCAGCGCTCAAAATCGTATCGAAACATCGCGACATATTCCGATTTCAGCCAACGAGCTAATCCAGTTCACTCCGTCAAAAGTGTAAGCACGTTGTAGACGATGGATTTTCAAACAGGATTCTAGATTCAGATCTTGCAGAATACAAGAACAGCTATTTTGAATCAGAAAATAGACCGAGCAGCCCATTTAAAAAATACTAGCGTCTAAAATTTCGAAAATCTTTGACGAATATTCTAAGGCCAAAAATGTAAAGGCCTCTTGAAAACAGTGTATTATTAGGGTGATCCAAAGAGTAAAGGGCACCTTGTTTTTTTATACATTCTTCAAGATCTCTTTCTGATTAGCTATGAACAACCAGCAATTTGCACGCTTTTGTATAAGGTGATTATCTTGACAGCGTAGATTAGCAGATTATCTTGACAGCACCTTGCAGCACTTCACCGACATTCCTTCGAGCGGCGCTTCAAAGAAATCAGACGGACTTTTTTGAACGCCATCCAAATTTGTGCTGCTGCACCTGAAAGTCCCTCGACATATGGCATGCCATTTCTAAGCTCTCCAATGATTACTTGAATATTCAGGAATTGCCCATTATTTCATACAAAAAAGGCACTCTATTCGAAAAAGTGCGGTGTTTGGCGCAGATTTTCTGACTAGATTTCATGCCCACAATTTTTCGAAAATGAGAAAAGTCGAAGTAATTTGCATATGTATGGATAGAGCGTGAAAAGCACTATCAGAAAGTAACTGTGGTTGAATTCGATTACCTTGATGAAAGAATAAGATATGTCTCCTGATATTCAATGCTATATCTTCTGTTCTAAAGCCTTGGGACCACCGAGCTATCGTGGATTTGGTGACAGTCTCCTCACCCATTGCTGCGCGGATATCTTCGGTAGGCTCACTTGTTCTACTGCGGCGCTCCTGCTCAAAGTTCAAAATTACTTGAAGTGGTGAGCTTTAATTTCGAGTGCTTATAAAAATAATGCCATTTGACAGTGCTCAACTATAGACCTCGATTAGAAGGTTTGTTACTATGTACTAACACCTGCCAGAACTTGAACTTCCAATTAGCTTTTCTATTTGAGAAAACTGCATTTATTTTCTAGGTGCCCCATTACTTTTGAATCACCCTAATAGGTTTCATCTGCAAATAATCATCACACTTCAAGAGATTCCGTTTCGTACATTCTTACCTTGGAGTGCAGCGACCAGTACCAAAACCCAAAATTCACTGTCTGTTACTGCGGGTTATAAAAATTACATTTTTTCGCCTTTGGCTGGTTTTTTCGAACTCTATTTCATTCTTCCTCACTTCTGTCCATTCATGGTTCGCTGGAGAGTTCTGAAGCTCCACTTATGTAAACACTTGGGCAGGTAAGTCGTGAAGTGCTCAAGGGTATCGTTTCCGAACATCATATGAGTTCTCGATGAGCCCTGATTTGCACTCACAATAAAAGCCCCTTTAGTAAATGGCCTTTCCACATGCTACACACATCTCTAGACGCGTCTTTGAATGCTGATTTCAAATCTGATCCTTTTCTGCAGAACAATCCTCTAAAAGAAGTGATTGTGTTTAAAATCCCAAATCTTTCATGCTATAGGCGACACAAATTTAGAAGAAAACTGTAAAAAAAGTTAAAAGTAGGTATTCAAACTTGTATCAAGTATATTGACAACAATGAATGAACACAGCCTGTGGAATTCCGCGTAGGTGTCTTTGTACAGCTTGCTGATTTTATGCCACTTGAAGCTTGACAAATTTAGACTTTCAAGCACTCATAACTTCTTTCGGAGTTGTTTCGCAGGTTTCCCTTGTTAGACTGAAGTGTATTTGTCAACTTTCGCTTCCAAAACTACAAAACTGCCCTTCGAATTAGAGTGCGGCGAAGATCCAATAGCCAGGAGACTGGATATACTGAATTGCAAAGACCAGCAATTGTACAAAACAAGTTGTTTTTGAGATGAATGACTTTCTTCATCTAATTTTTGTTATCTACGCATTTTGGTGCACCCAAGTGAACAAACAAAGAAACTTTCATCGATCTGACTTTTTTTTTGCAGTTCTCATGCCGCCATCACGAAATTTCAACAACTAGATCCTTGATGCAAAAAAAGGTCACTGATTACATGTGGTAAAATGCAGGTAAATATGTCAGTAACACCCATAATGAAGAAGATGGGAATTTTTGGTTTCTTATTCTATGCTGGCAAATTTTGATAAAGCTCCTGCGAAGGGGCATGACTGCGTTGTAGGAATGGTTCTTTATACCCAGTTTCATCACATACTCTTCCTATGAAACAAACTTTCCTACACTACCTCAAAAAATATACGTTGAAAGAATTAGAGGTAAAGTTTTAACAAACATAACAATAGAGTTTCAGTATCTTGAATTTAGAAACATCAATCAAAATACTTTGAACACCGTTTCGCCTTTTTTTGTGTGTGGGCTACATATGAAAATATCTCCGGAAATTATTTTATGTTAGATTATTGTATAACAAAATATAGCATCCCTATAGTCAGGCTAATAGGTCGAGCACAGAATATCCTGATTTTTTTCTTGGCGGCATCTTCTCCTAGTCAAAAAGATGGTCAAGCAAGTCTAGTTCATTTTGACACATCATCCATACATCTAGCCATTTCTCATCGATAGTCGAGATATCGTCGGTGGAGAACAAAGAAACAAAAACACGTTGGAGACGAGCTTGAAAGCAAGTCTGGACATTCTCGAGTGTTGTTGAAGATAATAGCTAGGGGAATAAGGAGATGAGATAAATGAGATGACAAGGGGAGGATGATTCACAAGAGATTGGTGAGGTTATAAGGAAGTTTTTCCACCATTTTACTAGTTGACAATTGCCTACATGCTTACACAGAAAATATGTGTTTGGTAGGCTTAATAGCTTGATTAGTAACCGATTGTAAATATCAACAAGTTTTGCTAATTTTAGTACGTCAAGTAGAATTTTTACAGATGGTAATTTGAAGGTATAGGCGAATTGCTCTACATTTTCAAAAAATATTTCCATTCTGCGGCACTGAAAGAAAAATTATTTTTCTTCTCAAGCCATATTGATTTAAAAGTTCTTCACGAGTTTCTATCAAATATAAGAATTGTTGGCCGAATCTTTTTTCTTGATTTTGACCTTCGTTTAAGTACTTCACAGCTGAAACAGACCATTTTGGATAAAAGTTTCATATAATAGAGAATTTTCGATGAATCACTCTAAAGAGATTTTCAAGAGTTTTGAGTGGCTACAGCAAGTCCTTTGTTCTTTTTGTTTTATAGGATCCAAATAGTTTCAAAGTGGAGATCCAAGCGGGCACATCTTTTTAGGCGTACTTATCTACAATATTTTAGGGTAACTCTTGTTATTTTTGGATTTCGTCAACCGTATTCCTTCCTACGAAAATGAAAATAATGAAAATTCAAATGTTGCTGCAATAATTGACACCAGTTTCCAACCAAAGCTATTCCCGATCCCATACAAAATCATCCTGAAAAGTGATTCAAAGGGGAGAAAGTGCAGATTGAAATGTGACGCCGGTCACAGAGATTACTAGGCGGAACGTCGAAGGAGATTTTCGAGCGGATAAAACCACACGTTAATCCTTCAACAGAAGAACGTTATCGGCAATCGAAAAACGTGAAAAAAAGTGGTGCACACAGGATTCGAGAAGAAGAGAAGAAGACGGTGGCGAAAAAGTTACAAAAATTAGAATAGTGCTCTTTTGATATGTACAAAAAGTACATGGATAAAATGCACAAATTAGCCACAATAATGGTAGCAAGCGTAGCTTCCATAAAGCGTCTGATGGAACCAGAAACACTAGCTTTGAGCGATAGAAAAAAAGGCACCTACGCGACGTCCTTCTCGTTCTTGGCCATCGAACGCGCAGCAAGAGTGGACAACTGCACGGCAAGGTCCGCCATACGATTCACATTGTCGGGATTCAAAAAACCCATCAGTGGTGAGAGATTCATCTGAAGGTGGAAGACTTATAGGCGGGAGATCGGGCACAAATTATCAATAAGCACTGCAGCGTTTGGAAGAAGCGGATTTGCTCCCATGTATGATAATGGGGACGGGGTGACTTGAAAGAAGTGGAAAATGGGGATGTTCTTTCATGTCACCGCCTCATCAGGATATGCAAAAGCTTGATTGAGTTTACATTATTTTTGAAAAAGTACCCTTGCTGCTAAATTTGGTTGGTAGAGCATACAAGGTCTACGTTAGGGTCTCTCATGTAGCATAGAATAGGATTTTGCGAGAACATCACAAGAAAACAGAAGTGACGAGAAATTTTATATTGATTGAATTTTTTCAATTTTTAAAGTTTACTACCTTGTGCAAAGATGTTGACGAAATGATTTGAAAAAGATAAAAGGTGGTTACACTGTTCTATGTTACCGCCAAATCGGGAAATCCGGGTGTGACGGAGATGACCGCTTTTGTGGACAAAGTATCTAATCAACTTTAGTCGATTGAACATTTCCAAGACTTTAGCGTGATTAGGGCTCTATGAGTATTTTACTATTTGTGAAGCTTTCAGATGAGTGAAAAGCAATATTCGCTTACAATAGAACGTTGACAAAGCTAATAGTAGAAGGAGTTCCACAATTTTGAGAAAATTTTGAAGAAATTTTGAAGAGAAAAAATATAACAATTAAATGATATGAATTCGTTTACAACGTTTCAATCACAAAGTGAAAAAATTGCAATTCGCATCCCGTCAACTATTATGCTTCAAACATTCAGAATTTAGGGATTGTTGCCTTCTATCCTGCTGAATCTTAATGGTTATTAAGAAAACTTTATCTAAAAAAAGAGTGTCACAATTTCGGATTTTTTAGAAAGTTCGAAATTTTCATGGACAAAATAATTGCAATATACTAAAGCAGAGCAGAGAAAGGAACCAAATTAACATTTTGTTATGTTAGTGGCACTTAATGATAATTTATCAATATAGAAAAGAAGTGAGCTTGAAAAGGAATGCGATTTTGACCGAATAGCTAGAAATCAGCGACGACGAATTTACACACCAGGTAGTTATACTTTTCTCATTGTGTATATGATGACGGAATGAAAAAACTCCAGATTATTTGCATTTTGACCGGATATCCCTCAGAGAAAACGATGCGAATGAGGCCAATATGACGCCGATATTCAAAAACCGCTTGCGATCACCCTAACACACGCTTCATTGCTTCCTCACTGAAGACGCTTTCCCTCAAGGTGACGTAAAAGTCAGTGATTCACCTGTGCATGTCCAAATAGGGGCAAAAGTAGGAAAATAGCAACGAGTAGCATTGTGTTGGAATTCCTCGGGTGTAGAGCCGAATGAGGGATTCGTGGCCACGCCTCTGCGCCATGTAACCAGCCATGCAAACCCAGACGATGACGACGCAGCGCCCGCAGCGCCAACGTAGTAGACGAACCCCAACCCGCTTTACGGGGAGGGGGGGGGGGGCAACGGCCGACTGCGTATATCCCCCCAAAGATTGTAAAAAAGGGCTGACTCACGCAATGTCCAACCACCGCTTGAGGTTTGTAGAAAAAAAGCCTCCTTCGGTCAAGTAGCTAAAAGCTGGGATTTTCAAAGGATTCAATTTTTGTTATTTGCTCAGTTTACTAGATGGGCTGAATGTGCATAAAAAGTACCGAAACTACAAAAATTTGTCTAAACCAAGCTGAAAAGTCCATGTATTGTCCATGAATTTCAAACTATTTTGAAACCTCGTCATTCGTCACCGAAAATCCTTCATAGTAATAATTTGACTATATCAGCAATCGTACAGTTTGAGTGATGTTCAATATTTTCAACGTGAAGCTGCTCAAAATCATGGGAAACGCTGTTGATGGAACCGGTATAAAGCCACTATTTGGTTTCTTCGTGCTAATTCACGATAATCAAATTACACATTAAGAGAATCACCGCATTATGTCAAGCTAATTTAGATAATTTTTTGAAGCCTCTGCTGCTCTTCCCACATGTTTTTATGTGGTAGTACAATTTGAAATGCTTAGCAGCCATTTGATTAGCAGTTGACTGAACTTTGCTCTTGATAGAAAAGGGTCACTGCTCTTTGTTGAGATCTAAACCTTGAAGAATAGGGCAATACTCAAGAGAATGAAAGATACCCTCATACGTTTAACGTTTAACAACAGGTACCTCTGTGATACTTGAATGCGCAAGCTCATAACAGGCAAAATGCAGTTATAAAGAACTCCACTTTTGAAATTACAGGAGAATAAACCTTATCTGGAGTAAGACGTCTTTCTGAAAACCAAAGAAGGAGTAAAAGCTTCAAGCTTTATTGAAAAAGTATACGTTCATCTGCAGCATGAGTGCGGGCTTCAAAGAATAGTTAATTTACTTTGCACATTTTTTTACATTCATCATCATACTTCAAAATTATGACCAAACTAGCTGGCTTACCCGGCTCCGCCGTATCCGGACCAAACTTGGCACACATACACTTCGGGCCCCGGCGGGTGTCACAGTCACTTTTCGTTATCGATCGATGTCGATTTTACCGATTCTTATCGATTTTTTGCAGAGTTCACCTACAGGGCTAGGAGTTGGCACAGGGGGGGAAGTGAGCATGGGGATTCCGAATACAATATTAGTTTTCAGGATCGTCCATTACTTTTATCGATTTTATCGATTTTTTTGTAAAGTTTGACCTGCGGGGCTGGGAGTTTGCACAGGGGGATAATCGAGCATGCTGATTACGAACACAATATTAATTTTCAGGATCGTCCAATACTTTTATCGATTTCATCGATTTTTATTGTAAAGTTTGACCTGCGGGGCTGGGAGTTTGCACAGGGGGGTAATCGAGCATGCAGATTACGAACACAATATTAGTTTTCAGGATCGTCCATTACTTTTATCGATTTTATCGATTTTTTGAAAATTTGAGCTAGGGGGCTGGAATTTGGCACAGGGGTGATCGAGCATGCTGATCACCCCCCTTGGGGATGATCAGCATGCTCGATTACCCCCCTGTGCCAACTCCCAGCCCCCTAGCTCAAACTTTGCAAAAAAATCGATAAAATCGATAAAAGTAATCGATAATCCCGAAAACTAATATTGTATTCGGAATCCCCATGCTCGATTACCCCCCTGTGCGAACTCCCAGCCCCGTAGCTCAAACTTTGCAAAAAAATCGATAAAATCGATAAAAGTAATCGATAATCCTGAAAACCAATATCGTATTCGGAATCCCCATGCTCGATTACCCCCCTGTGCCAACTCCCAGCCCCGTAGCTCAAACTTTGCAAAAAAATCGATAAAATCGATAAAAGTAATCGATAATCCTGAAAACCAATATTGTATTCGGAATCCCCATGCTCGATTACCCCCCTGTGCCAACTCCCAGCCCCGTAGGTGAACTCAGCAAAAAAATCGATAAAAATCGATAAAATCGATATCGATCGATGACGAAAAGTAGCCTATGACACCCGCCGGGGCCCGTAGTGTATGTGTGCCAAGTTTGGTCCGGATCGGTTCAGAAATGGAATTTTCTATTCGGAACATACGTACACACAGACATACAGACAGACATACAGACAGACATACAGACAAACAGACATTCAGCTTTATATATAAGATAATCAACATACAGCATAAATCAATTGTTGGACTAGTGCAACCTTTGAAGTTGAACTTGGCGATTACCGGTTGCATCGGCTACTCAACTGGTTCTGGTAGCATGCGGTAATCATAGACACATCCGCAAATGCAATGCGCACAAAAAAATTGTAGAGCCATTCGCATTTAGTGCAGCTTGCAAGGGAAGCTGCGAAGTACTCTTGAACGGTATATACAGCATACTGTTGGGCATAAAACGCTGATTCCAAATCCGCTTTACTTATCTGAGGGACATTGATGGGCGAGGAGTTATGAGCGTTTATTTATTAGACAAACAATTAAATGTGAAAGTAGGAAAAATTAGTCGTGAAATTTTGAACTGCGATTTACTAAAGCAGTGAAATTACCAGAGCGTCTCATTCAATGAATAGTTTGAGACAAAATTACATCAACTTGGTTGCTTTTTTGGGGCTAAGATTTTAGCAACTTATTTTATCCTAAACGCACATGTAATTTTTTGCTTCAATGAATGCTCATAGCTCCTCGTGCACAAATGTTCCCCTGGTAAGGAAGGCAAATTTGGAATCAGCGTTATATGCTCTTCAAACACCTCGACTAAACATTCTTCCCTTGTTAGTAAATTACACCTTCTTATAGTTGAAACTTCGTTGAATCCAGTTTCCATTGGAGGCTTAGGCACGAATATAAATCGAACTTGTAGCAATTATCATTCGTAATCTTCAGCTACACCAGTTTCGCCAAAAATCACGTCATTGTACTCTCTCCAACGTAGGCAAATTAGTATAAGGTTGTAGGAAAAGTCTGTTTAAATGGATTCGTTAGGGATTTCTAGGGCTACGGTCCGCTTTCGGAATTTTTAGGATGAACTATGCAAAAAGCATCTGTTCTGTATCCATAGCATTGATTTCTTATTTACTTGTCCTACAAGGACATTCTTTGATATCCACTTCAGTTTGCTCAAACACTCGAAATGCTGGACTTCAACAAAATTTCCTAAATAGGTTAAACTGCAAACATAACATATTTGTACAGCTTCCAAAACTTAAGAATCACGCAAACGATGTACTGTTGGGACAAATGGCATTTTTTTTTTCGACAGTTCCTTGTAGATACTCGCCGTAACCGAGACTGTCTCACAAGGAAGGCATGTTTAGCTGAAGTGGCCTTTTCAGATGGGATGTACACCATACTGTAGGGCATAAAATGCTGATTTCATGTCTGCCTTCTTTATCTGCAGAGCATTTATGGACGAGGAGTTATGAGCGCCGCTTGTTGAAGCAAAAAATTGAATGTGCAAGTAGGACAAAAATAGCCGTAATACTTTTTCTAGCTCTTCTAGATAATCATTAGAGTTTTCTATTTTGAAAATACTCCAAAACATAAAAAACATACCACACTTGGTTGCATTCTTTGAGGGCTAGTAAGATTTTAGAACTCATTTTTTCTAAAATGCACGTTCAATTTTTGGCTCAAAAACGCTCGTAACTTTTCGTCCATAAACGCTCTGCAGATTGGGAAGGCAGGTTTGGGGTCAGCGTTTTATGCCCTTCAATATGATACACATCTTATTTAGAAAGGTCACTTCGACTAGACAAGCTTCCCTTGTCAGTAACAAGCAACAGCCAATAAGTATTTTAAAAAATATGAAAATATAAGCAAAAGCAATTCATAGCACGCAGAGAGTGGGGACCGTTGCATCCATTCAGTAGTTTGTGTTTGTGAGAATTGCAGACAGTTGTAGAAATGAGAGTGTGTATGATCTGAGAGACGCAGACGACGTCTGCATGGCGCTCTGTCTCTGCGTATACGATGAATGGCTTTTATTCGTCGTACGGCACTTTGTGAACCGTGATCTAACATGAGTTGGAACATTTTTCGTCACTTCACGAAATTCTGAGAAAACACTTTCTGCTTCCATTTGTATTTACTAAAATTCATTTTGCAAGCAAGAGAAACTGGAGCTATCTCGGAAAGGGCGCATTTTTGGTATTATTATTTCTTCCACTGGCATATATAAACATCAAATAACCGGGCTTTTTTTCACATATTATTTCTGAGAAAAAATAATAGAGAGGTTGAAGGGACCTTAAAGTAACAACTGTTTTTACGTCTGGATTGTGAAGATAGAAGTACATGAACCGGAAATGTTATCATCACCGTTTATCAACATTTCAACATTTTGGGTTCACGCACTAAGTTACAAGATTTTGGAGTTGATGACTTTCATATCTAGCTATGAGCTATCTGTATTTTTCACTGTAAGCTTCTGTAAACTGACCGGATTTCGTATTTGCTTCTTTTAACGCAGACGTACTCGCCTTTCGGCTCGCTCACAAAGTGCTTTCGGTATCTCCAAATCCATATTGGTAATGGTCGATATATTTGAGTTAACGGATATCTGGCAAATTTATAGAAACTACTTACGAGCCGTATTCTTCGTCGCGCGCGAATGCTGTGCGGGCTGACTTTTCGGACGAGTTCCCCGAGAAAATGCACCAAAATTTATTTTTCAAAACGCTTTTGCTTACTAAATTGAAATCAGCCTTTACGAAGCGTTTGAGATTACTTTTTGTTTTTGTGAGCGGCTCCAAAACTCTGGTTCTTTCGCCAAAATGGTTCTCTAATTCTTCAAGTTTCTTCTTTCTGAAAAGTCGTGATGGCTGAGATGAAGTGATTCGAATACTGCGCATCTGTTCTTACATCGCTTCAAGTCCACGGAGAGAGAACTTCTATATTTTGAAGATGTCGGTGGACCAGCTTACGCTGCTCACGTCTCATGAGAAGGAGACCAATGACACTGACGATCCCGTTCCTGGCGAGTTTACGGCTTCACCTTATAGCTTTTTTCATTACGTTGTCATTACAGGCCCGGCAACCTACACAGCTGAATGTGAAGATGGCGATTCGCGAGACTCAGGTTGTTGAATGATGCTGCACTCTTAATTTTGTAACGTATTTTAGGTATTGTGAGCGATTACAAGAGTCCGAGAAAGTGTGAACCATTGCCGAAGGTTAGTGCGGATAGGTGATTGGATAGGTGTCGTAATCAATATCTTTCTAACCACTATTCCAGGCTGTCATCAGGAAAGGGCTTACTGACAGGACTAACACTAGCATACAATCGAAGGAAGGTGTTCTGTGAGTTTTCTCTTTGCAAAATTCGCAGATTGCTTTTGAGTCTTTCAATTGAGGAAATTAACGTATAAAGGACTCTGAAAACATCCGACACATCCTTAGATACAGCACCAAAGCACTAGATTTACAAATAATACTACAACACCAGTAGATAAAGTAAACCGTAAAGAATTGATGAAGATGATGGACATTGTTATTTGGAAGATCATCAAAACGCTTCTCAAATCATGTAAGCTAAGAACCTCTTAGGCTGAGTTTATACTGATCCGTAAGTTCCGGAAAAGTCCCAGCCTAGCGCGCAAATTGTGCTTGTGCTGGAACAGTTCCAAAACTTACAGATCAATATGAATAGTATATGAACCTAGCCTTATGGAAGTTGTGGCCACTACAGGACCTGAGCATATCTCTAATCAGCTACTATCATGGTAGGAATATATGGTATCGCATCGTCTAATGTAAGGAGAACTCCTACCAAATGCTCTCATTTCCTTCAAAACGGTTTTGGTAGCTGTATTCCCGTGAAAGAGCTCGAATCCTTTTACAAAAAGTATCTTGGTATGTTCCAGTGGGTTCTACTACCAGCCTTGAACTATTTACCTTGGCCGGGGAAGCTGCAATAGCGAGTTCGATTTCAAAGCAGTTTGTGCATGCTTGTATATGAAACCACAAGCGTATTGTTTCACGTCGTACGGGGATGTACTGAAAAATATCTGCGACCGTTCTAGTACTTTGTGATGAAATCAATCAGCGGCTGTATAATACAAAGCGTGTCGCAAAACAAAGAGTTTTTACGTAAGGAATCGATCGAATTTCTAGTTTTTTTGGGGTGCTTGGCATTTGATGGCGATGTGATCTGACGAACTAAATCAGGAAGCTTTGGTATATGTTTATCCAATGTCACTCGGTATCACACTTCGCAGGTAGTAGCTGCAGTATACTTGCAGATTGGGTGACAAATAATCTTGATGTCAAAAACTTAAGAGTTCTGCTGCAGCATGCTGACGCTTTTTTTAGCGTTCGATTGAAAGTGGTACCAAACAAAGTTGTAGCGCCATGGTTTACGGAACTGATTAGTGCACTTTCGGAATAAAGATGTGTTGAGCTGCTTTGTGGTAGCTCTTCTTCTCACTTTTCCAACGACTATCTTTCCAGCAAAACTAAGAAATTTTTGGAGGATGAATCGCCAATAACTAGACGTCGTCCACCTGTGCGTCTTCTCTCATTCTCAGTGATATCGTCGGATGAAGAAAAGGAGAACAGCGTTGTTCTTCCAAGCTTCGATAAACTGGGCTGCGCAAGCACTAGTTCAATATCGACATCTTCATTCTCGGAGGTTAGCTTTTCCTTTCTATAACGTTTCCGTTTTGGATTTTCTTTATGATTTGTACTGCTTCTCCATCACACTTCACCATAGTAAGGACACGTATTCACGTTACAGTACTGTGAATCAGACGTGGTGTGGACGCCGCCAAAGAGCCAAATTACTCATGAATATGCAGCGAGTGACGGTTCAGATGCGAAGAAAACTTTTCGGAAACGGCTAACAGAGAGTGTTCTTTCTGATTCGTTCATAGAGAAGAAGCGGTCCTGTGCGATCAGAAGCGAATGCTTTGAGGTGCACTTTCTCATAATCATTGTTCACCTCTTAATTTGTATCATGAAACACATTTGCTCCAAGGAACACAAAGTTTGCGTTCAACATAGAGAAAGGCTTTGTCCTTACCCGTTCCCATTTTTTGCAGAGCGATGTTAGCTTGGAGGAGGAAGTTTTTGAGCCTAGCGATACCTCTCCGAATGTGTCTATAGCGAGTGAACGCTTATCAAGGTGTTCTTCGTCGCGTTCCCTCTCCAGTTATAGCTCTGGGGACTGTCACGAAAGTCAGCAGAAATCTCCGCTACTAAGCCCGGAATTGGTGAGTTTTGTATTCTGCATTTTTTTACATTTAGTATACATTTTCTTAGAAAAATTCTGCACTTATGCATGTACATTACCTATTTGCAGAAGTATTCATTACCGGCTGTAGAACATCCACAGCAGCAGTCCCTTGCGTTCCGTAGCATATCAGCGGACACTCTTGCATCGGAAATTCGAAGACTTGGTCCCGAAGAATTTGAGCGTCGTTATACATTAGTCGATTGCAGATACCCTTACGAATACGAGGGAGGACACGTGAAGGCCCGTTTTACATTTTTATCTTACATTCTTTATAGAAGACAACCTTGTTCACAATTGTTTTGATTACGGTTTTCAGTGTGCTGTGAACGTTCATAATCAAGATGAATTAGAGAAGATTTTCTTCCCAGAAGATCTCAATCATCCAATCCGCAAGCGCATACCCATATTCTACTGCGAATTTAGTCAGAAACGAGGACCGGGAATGTGAGTTTTCACAGACTTCTAAATTCGGTCATTTTTTTTCAGTGTAATCTTGTTCGAGTCCAGTCTAACACTTCAGTTTCAATCTCTTCATTTTCAGTTCATTTGATTTTTAATTTTTCTTTTAGCGACAATCGTAAGCTCATTTCTATTTTTTTCACAAATCTTTTTTCTAGGGCATTAGCACTTCGCAACATTGATAGGTTGCGCAACGAATTTCAATATCCTAAAGTGGACTATGCTGAGATGTATCTACTTGATCACGGCTATCGGCAATTTTTTAACGATGGTCGCTACAAGGTCAGTCTTTCCTCTAATTACAAGTGCATATCCACGTAATAATCATAAATGTTTAGTCCGAGTGCGTTCCATGTGGCTATGTTCCCATGATGGACTCCGCTCATGTCTCTTCACTTCTCAAGTATAAGTGGCACAAATCCAAGTCGTCGAGTCAGCTCATGGGAGAAAAGGAAAGAAAACCTCTGCGTAATACCGTTTCTCTCTATCGATGCCGATCCCTAATGCAGGTACTGCTATATTTCCCTTCTTGTACCTGTTCTTTGGTCAGTTTGATGACACGTTATTTGTTGGTTGTGTGAAATTGTTTTTTGCTTATATGGCAACCAACTTTTCTTCTAGGTGATTTATGCGCCCACTCATCGCATTACTTTCACGACAACAGAAATAAAAAAATTAGGTGCGCCTGGACAGTTTCCATCTTGTCACACCTCTCGAGGCCCTGATCATCTGTACATACTTGGAGGCAATGTATGGGCAGTTGGGAGCACGTGAATTTTAAGGGATTATTGCAACATGCTCTACATTCAAGCCATAGTCCGACTGCGGTTGCAAATTATAACAATCCGTTGAAATTGAGGTATCCTCGAATTGCCCGAACACTGCCTTTGAAGGTATAGACGGATTTTGCGCTGTTTTGGGATCGTGCTAGATGATGTGTTTTGTATTTTGCTCGCTTCAACCTCTGAGTATGTTACGGACGAGAGTAAGCCTACGTCAGAATTACTCGACAAAATCAGTTCTTTGAATATGTGCGCATTTATGGTTCAGTCCTGGTTTCTTTTCTTCCTCTTCTTTCTCCCTCCGTGTCGCTTCCAGTCTTTCCACACCCCATTGCTCTAACTCCAAGAGTCTAGGAATCTATTTAGCATATGAAAGGTGAAACAATTCAGTTCCTTTGCCTTCATTTGTTATCACTCTTGGGCCCTGGCCAGACTTCGCTCAAAAACGCTCTGAAGCGCCCAAATTCCTCTAGTTTTCTTCACTTTCTCTATCTCTCTTCACACGATGGAGTGAAGATACATCAGAGAAATTCGGGCGATTTTGGGCGCTTCTGAGCGAAGTGTGGGCAGGGAACTGTGGTTTGACGCCTTCAAGTGCACGTTTGATCAAATATAAGTCTTGTACTTCCTACCTTTGTATATGCCGTTCGTTTGTCAAAAAGCGTATCAAATATTGTTGCAGGTATCCGAAAAAAGCAACGAGGATGTAGTTCCACTAAGTCCTACTGCTAAAACGCCGGATTTGGTTTCGCGTCGTCTATTCGTTGATAGTCCAGAATGTGTAAAAAGTCTTGAACCTTCCCTTCACGATTGATTCATGTTGACAATATTACCTGGTTTCCAATTATAATCACTGATGTAGGATCTTACTTAGATTTGCAGCATTTTCTTGCATGCCATATACTTGATGCACCGAATTGTTCACATTTCTAATAAGTCATCTACTTTTTAGCGTGCTGTATCCTTCTTTTTCCGGGTAGTTGCAATTTACGGGGTGCGCTTTGATCCAAATAGCAGTTTCTGTTGATTACTTACTATCATGTATCCTTGTGAATAATTCGAGCTCAACACTTCAATAATCAAGTTCACAAACAGTCAGGCAGGATTTGTTCCGGATTAGTACAACGTGCAGAATAGTTGATGATAGCGCTCTCTAGATATTTTCGAAATTACTTGTTTTGTAGTATCGTCTTTCTCTTATCTCGGGTTTAAGAATCTCAAACTTCACAGTTACCATCATGATTAATATCGCATAGGCATAGAAGATATCTCATCTGTACATACAATAGGTATAACATCATTTGTTATCCACATCAGTAATTTAATTACTGGCAGCTGCTGCATATTAAACTTATTGTTTCTCACATTTTTTTTAGATTTTCTCATCATCTTCATACTGGTAATTGTCTTGAAACCACTCAACCTTTTTCACCATTGACTTTGATTTGTTTGGTTTAGCTGTTGATGTCACTTTGGTTCTGTGCCATACATTCCATGACAATCAATTTTTTGTAATGCATGAGATCTTAGTTTCTGTCGCATAAATCTCCATTGCTCTGAGTTACTCTCTGAATTCAAGGAATAGTTTCCAAATTATATCTCTCACATTATTATCGAGTCAAAATGTACTATCTGGTGCATGCCAGTGACAAGCAATGCGACAAATCGCGCGATACTGACTTTAGTTGCACTTAAATAGTGATTTCAGATTTAACTACCATTGTTTCTCGCAGGCTATAAACTTTATTAGATTTTTTGTTCGCAAACCATCATGCGCCTTGCAATAGAACTGCTTCATATTTGTGCTCAAGCTGTTTCCCAGATTTTTCGACTGCATATGATGTGCACAATGCATGTGTCGAACTTGTTTGTGACTGCGAGACTATCTTGCGCATGAAAAATACCGGTTTGAATTACTTGTGTCTTTATGGTGCATAATCTTCCTTGATGTGCAGTTCATTTTCGCATTTTCAAAAAATTTCCTTTTTGGTCGTTGGTGTTCCACTCTTCATTTGGAGTCTTTCGTGATCAGTGTTCACTTTCCATGTTTCCGGAACCGCACACATTGCAAGCATAGTTACTAGTCAGCTCATATCTAAACTTCTTTTAGCCTTAAGACCTGTATGGGATGAATGGCGCCACTGACGGGCCACTTTGTTCATTGATCTCATACGTAGTACCTCGTAAGTGATGTCCATGGGAAGACTAGAAATTTTATCTTCATTATTTCCAGCCGGACTTTCAAGAGTCCCCGCTACTGCGCCTACAGATTCACGAACGCGTGGCGATTTTGCTGTAGAGACAATCAGTGCTAAGAATTTGCAGGACAAAAGGTTTGATATTGAAAAAGTCAAGGAGCGTAGCAATAATGCTCGTAACAAGGCTATTCGCTTGGTTTTGGAGCTTTTTCACTTACTCCTAGTCATAGTTTTTCTCCGTTCGTGAACCGCGACAATAAATGAACAGCTGCGCCATCTGACTTTGTAGCGAACGAATTTATGATGTTTTGAGTCAGTCCCATGTTTGAGCGGTTTCTTTTTCAAGGCACCGTCTATCCACAATGAGGATGGTGGAAATTTGACTCCTGTAGTAGCGGAGCCCCTGAACTAAGTAGTTCCTCAAATGCGGTTGCAATAGGGATTCCGAAGCGAGAAAATCGCTCCAGAAGATGCTTGCTAACGTTCATCCCGTCTTCAGCCTGAGTGGTCCAATAGTCTATATGTGTTAAATTGGGCCTCAAGTGCCTAGATATGTCGGAAATTTCTCTTTCATCATATGCATTTTGACATCCCTAGCCTAATTGAAGCCACATCACACAATACGTTCTTAGCGGGTGCATAGCAAGTGTTACCCAGGCAGCCGCCTGGTGCCGCAGCCAGCCGTCAGGACTGGCACCAACGCTGCGGCAGCTACCGTAAGCGCGCTCTCGTTGTCCGCAATCTTTCGCTGAGAGATTTTCGCAGCAGCCTCACAACTCTCGCGCTGAGGTGCGAGAATTCCCTCAGAGGTCGAGCTACTGCCACATATTATATATCGATCAACACAGCAGAAAATTTGTAGTTTATTAGTAATAAATATTACAAAAAATATAAACAAACAAAAAAAGTTATTTCACCAAAAATCTGGAATGCTGCAGAAAAATCTGAAAACCTCAGCACATATGTTTTTTGGCCTACCCTTTGCATCTGTGAAAAGTTTGCGACACAAACAGCGCAAACTTTTCACAGATGCAAAGGGTAGGCCAAAAAACATATGTACTGAGGATTTCAGATTTTTCTGCAGCATTCCAGATTTTTGGTGAAATAACTTAAAATGGTCAAAGCTTATATGGTCTTAGTTTTCCATTTTTATCTCCGCACCCAGTATGAAACAGAAGCTCCACGGAACAGCATCTGAAAGCGAAAGACTTATTCTTTCTAATAAAATTACAAGCAAGCAAATCCGTTGAAATTTCGCGGAGTTACAAATTTTTGAAAATGAAACGACAGAACTTTTGCAACAACCTAATAGTTTTTGTATTAAAATGTCGAAATTTGTCACAGAGAAAACCATTTGACAGCAGTGCGGATGTAAAATTGTAAATTTGATTGTAATTTCCATTTGTGAATTTTTTGTGTTGTTTTTTATTTATTTAACTTTTTTGTTTTGTATTCTTTTTGTAATGTATATTACTAATAAACTACAAATTTTCCGCTGTGTTGATCGATATATAATATGTGGCAGTAGCTCGACCTCTGAGGGAATTCTCGCACCTCAGCGCGATGAGGTGCGAGGCTGCTGCGAAAATCTCTCTGCGAGAGATTGCGGACGACGAGAGCACGCTTACGGTAGCTCAGCCGCGACGCTGGTGCCAGCTCTGGCGGCTGGCTGCGGCACCAGGCGGCTGCCTGGGTAACACTTGCACGCCTCCCGTTCTTAGCGCCTATGTTTATGGGCGACGGATGTTTTCAGGATCATTCTGGAGCGATTTTCTCTCTACGGATTCGTCTTTCACTGCGTGTTGGACAGTTGCTACATCAGGGCTATTCAGCTAAGATCTCATCTTTGGATGGACGTTCTTTGACTATAGAGATCGACTCATTTTTTTCTTTTTAAACAGCTGTATTTATTATAATTTCCTGCAAGCCAAGGCTTATTGACCAAACTTCCAACTCTTTCAGAGGAACTACTGTTCACCTTCCTGAAAGAGTGCCTATACCGCAGCAAACACTGCCAAGGCAACCAGCCAGGGATTTGTCGATCACTCGTGTGATAACCACTAGTGCACAACCGGACGCCGCGGCTACAAACAGATCCGTTCATCCGTCAGAGCAAAAGTCGCCCCCAAATTCCCCTCTAAAGCCCAGTCATCCGCCGAGGAAACCTTGTTTAACGAGAAATAATACTACAAATATTGTGCCGGCCCGCTTAAACCTCAGGAAAAAGACAGTCGCTTTTGGAAAAACTGTGAACTTGTCACAAACTGTAGAGGTGAGTGGTGGTGAACTTCACATATGTTTTTATTCGTCATGCTTTCCGTCATACTTTTTCTTGGTCATACCACGTATCATGATATAAATAGGAATCTTTGCATTATAGGCAAAGCTAACAAGGGGAGGATACTTGGTAAGCGTGGCCTTTTGATGTGAAAACATCACCATTAAATGCGTCTTGGAGCGCTGATTCCAGATCTGCTATTTTGCTGGTGTGCATTCTTCCGAAAGAAGATATGAACATATCTACCTACCCAAAATTTACACTGTTTTGATGACAATTCACCAATTTCGTAGGCATAGTCACTTACGCTCAACAAAAGAGCCCACAAATAAAATAAAGGTTTACATTGAAGGCAGCGTCCCCTCAAAATGATGGGTGCCGAGATTCTGCAATGCTGCAGTGTTAGACCCTCCAACTAATCTATCAGTGAAGCCTGAAGCGAAAAAGCGTTTCTGGAAAGCCCAAAATCCGCTTCGGAAGGTCTTCCGGACCCCGCCCATTTTCCGGCTCCGCCCACATGCGCACACGGAGAGCTTCGAAAAAAGCTCATTTTTGCCATTTTCAAGCGCTGAAAAGCTCAGAGATGGCTTCAGCATGGCGAGAAGGCTACGAAGAGGTGAAAAACCGGAGAGCAAAATTTTGCCGGAACGCTGCCTTTAGAGACAGCGGCCCGGCAGAATGACAGCTTTGGGATATTCATCGTTCTCGGATCCTCGAGACGAGCTAAATCCAAGGCTGTGCTTTGCAGCTTCAAAAGATATCAAACCCCCGCTTTTCCAGATGTGAAAAGTGCTGTTCGGGAGGACGGCATAAGCCTGCCCTCTAGAGCGCGATTGGCTCGTGAGTGGACACACCGGACCCATCTCGGCGGCAATTGGATTAGTGGCTCCAGCAGCCACTTTCGCTCAAACACCACTTTTCACGTCCGGGAAAGCAATTGTTGATATTTTTGGAAGCTGCAAAGCACAGACTCAGCTCATCCAAGGGAATTAAAAGGATTGGATATCCCAGAGTTGTCATTCTGGCGAGCTGCTGCCTTTAAGCTCAGAAAAACTGTCTCCGATCTATCCAAGTCTAAGAAGCCTGGATGCTGAGGATTCTGACTGCCTAGAATGTCCATAAATTCGTTTAGAGAGTCGCACAACTGAACATAGATTTGGGAATAGTGTTTTAAAGCGCATCTACTAGTGACATCTCGCTGCAAAAGGCCACGGTCAAGTATCACTCCCTTGTAAGCCATCCATTAAAAAAGCAGTAAACATTAAATCAGAGAATGTAATGAATGCGAAATTATGCTTTACTTCTTCTTTGAAAAGTGCTAAATACTCGAGATATTTTCTGTATAAATGATGTGACAGGGAGTTATTTGTCAAAATTAATGATTTGCGTTTTTAGGCAACCTCGCGCGCATCAAAATTAAGACGACAAATGAACAAAAGTACAGCAACGCAGATGCCACTGGCAGAAGTAGAAGACAAAGAAAACAAACCGATTAACCAATCCGAGCCTAATGGAGAGGTATCAAGAATACTATCTGTCGCATGAAGTGTACGTTAGACAAGTTATAGCAGTCATCATTGATGGAAATTCTGAAAGAAGTGAAGTCTTCTTTGGAAGCACTGAAAGCTCATGATGTGGAAAGAGCTGAAGAGATTCGGTCGATACGTCGAATGGTGGATGACAGAGGAAAAGAAATGGATAAATTGCGAGGGATTGTTGCTGGTAATCTATCGTTTTCGATTTATGTTTGCCGAATGCGACAGACTGGTTGTTTTTGTTTCAGACTTTTTTGGTAGAGATTGCCCTCGCTCAACAGATTCTCAATGCTATCCGATGCCTGAGAAGAAAAACGAACAAGAGAAGTCACCTTCCAGAAAAGCTAATGATTACAAGAACAGTTCATCGCAATCTCCTAGCCCTCAGCGATATACGCCAATACGCAAAGAAATGGGAAAAACGGTTTGCTTGAAATGATGTAGGATGTGTTGTGTATACATCCGCTTTCAGACTAGGCAACCTGATCGAAACGATGTAGATGACGTAACTTTCGAGGAGTTCCGTTATTTCATGACTACCAATCCAGCATTTCGTCAGTATGTGGCAGATCTTCGCGCTGAAGAGAACGAAGTATGTATAAGTATTGGTTCAATGAAAATTGGAGCTATTTGCCTCAGACAGAGCTGCCATCCTTTGAAATTTATCACAAGCTAACTTCACCCATGTATTAACTCTATTCTCTAACTCATTCCTCTGCTTTGGCCGCGCTAAGATTTCGTGCCAGCTCCGGGCCGTGTTACGTGCTTTGCTCGATCGATCAATAACGGCCGAACCCGCGGGTTCTGGCACGGCGCTGCGTCCGCACCTGGCAACTCTGGATGGCACTCTTTTAGAAGCGGAGTTTGGCTTGTATCGCAAAAACCATCCGATGTGTCGATTTTTTGGAGTATTAGAGCTTGTCGAATTTGTTTTGCGAACGGCAGGAAATTGATAGAGTCAAAAAAAAATCTTTTGTGCAGGCGATGAAACAGACCATTTCGGTAGTTAAAATCATCGCTCTTAAGAAGAGAGAGAATTTGAAATTTCAACGCAGTAAAGAAGGCCTCTCATCCGAGACTTGAAAGTAGACACTTTTTGATGCGCTCGCTGTTTTCTCAAGGTACAATCCGAGAAAAATCGGTTTATTACATCTTAGGTTTTTGGTAACGCGTAAGGCCCCCAGACTTCACGCGATTCAATCGACGCGATCTAATCGCCAAGATTTCCATTCATTTTCATTTCACATTCAGAAATTTCGGGCTGGAAAAGTAATACAACCGAATGCAAGTTGATCGGCATGGAATGATGTTGTAACAGTTGTCTCGTCGCGATTCAGTCGCGACGATCAAATCCGTGAAGTCTGCCCGGGGCCTAAGGGCTACGATCATACGCTTTCTTTTCTGAAGATAATAATTGCCAAGTAGATGTGTTAGTTAGATGCAAAAGTTTTGATAGTTTGAAACCACCCGCACATCTCGTCAAATAGAAACAGCCAAATATTTTTGAGCTGTATCCGATGTGGAATTTCTTCCTCTTTTGAGCTATGTTTTCGATGCGACTTACGCAAAGGCTGCGGAGATGATGGTGAAGTATACGACTCTCATTTTTCTAGATATAACCTTCGCTAATTTTCAGAAATTTTGGATGGGATTTATTGAAGGAGCTTTGATGACCAGCAACTAGGGCAAACCCTTTGCAAATCAAAAAATCTTTGGTACAGCTTCGATTTTGATTTTGCTAAATAATGGAAGTACTGCGCTTTGAAAAAATCGCACAACACATAGTTGCATCAAATACGCAGAATCTCCGAAATTTTTGTGTCTCAAACACAAACATCATCACTGACCTAACCAAATAAATGAGCCCCAAAATGTGGAGATATCATAAGGGGGTTGAACAGTGCACTCGTAACTTAGGAAATACGACGTTTTTGCCTGCGATTTTCGCATGTTTCGCAAAGAAAAGTAAACTATTAGAAAGAGGAGAAAACCTGCATCGCATGGAGCCAAGTTGTTTACCACTTCTTGTTTGACTAGGTTTGAATAGACCTTTCAAGGGACTCGGTACTTTGAGAATTATATTTTAGAACTTCAAAAAAATTCAGGATATTTTAGAAGCCTTTTAGATCGCAACAATAGCCCCCAAAATGGAGCGAAATGAGGATGAACTTTCTATTAATGACTTTACCTGCTATCAGTCTCTATGCAGGTTGAGCAGTAGAATTGACGTACCATATGAGGGTCACATCACTAATGACATAACTAATAATTGCCGCCAATACGCAGTGTAGTAGTTGAGCCGTTTCCATTTCCTATCATACTAGCATGCTCGAGGTGAGTAGCCGCGCTGTTGCTAATTTCATTATCTATCGCTGTGTCATATTCGCGGCACGACAAGGCGAGCGTGCAAGTGGCTTATGTATTCAATACCCAGGTTTTGACGAAGGCGTGAGCATAGTCGAAATTTGGCCAGTTGAACAAACAATGATATCAACCTTGGTTCACGGCTCTCCATGAACTTGAAATCGGAATTACAAAAACTGCAAAAATTTGCAAAAAGTTCGCGCTATCTGCTGGTCATTGGACCTCCTTAAATCTAAAATAATTCTGAGAATTGACGAAAGTCATACATGGTAAAAATGAAGGCTCGTAGGCCTTGGCGATTATCTCGCAGCCGCAGCATAAATTGCATTAGGAATGCGGCTCTGGAAAGAGGAAGAAGTTCTGCATCGATCAAAGCTGAAACTATCTGTATTTCTGTCTGATCGGGTTGGCGGGACTCATGAAATCGAAAGTTTTGCACCGACTTAATATTTCGAGAAATTTTATGCGCAATTCTCGATTACACTGGTGTCTTCCTTCGAATAAGGCATGCTTGTGGCAGCTAATTTTTTGGTGATAGGAAGGGTGAGATAGAAAAAGAATAAGGCTAATTATCCTGCTTGTTCCAAGCTATCAATCCGCAAAAATTCGGGGAGGTTTTTTGTGCATTTATTATTGGTTGTGCTATGCCTGTAAAGAAATGCTAGCTCATCCAATCTGTGCGACTGATATATCTGAATCTGAGCCAAGAACGCATTATGTTCTTTAACCCACAACGATTCGTTGCAGAAGAGAAACAGCTACAGGTTTCGAGGAAGGCAAGACCGTGGCGATTCTTGGAAGAGAGCACAAGAAGCCGAAGAAGCGAGACAAGAAGATCCGAGAGGAGGAAGAGGGTGAGAATGCTGTGAGTGGTCGTATCAGAGATAGGCTATATTAATCAAAATAGAACTCACGGGGCAAAATTCACTGAGAAGGTGACTGTAGAACGTAGTATCCGTTGTGCGCCACAGGATGTGGGCCAGTATTCTGTGGATACGAGAAGATACATTGCCGATCAGATCTTGGAAGGTAAATTTTTCGTTGCACTATTACAAGTGGTGCTTTTGATCGCATATAGCAAGACAATTTTGAGAACTATCAATTTGAAAGTTTCTGTGGTATTTTACAGATGAGGACGAGGTCAGTCACTCAGTGTATCGACCAGGCGAAAGTATTAGCTACTATCCAGAGAACTTGCGAACGCGAGCGTAAGCTAGCAATAAAAACGACTCAGCTAGTGGTAGCCAAGTTTCTATCTTAGGTACGTCCAAGAAGTCCATTCGGATGAGGACGAACTCCACGATCATCGCAATTATCGTGGATGTAAGTTTTGCTCGTCATATGGAACCTTCACGTTATTGTTTTATTTCGAGATGTTTTTTTATAGATGATGCTGTGGGAGAACGTCGTCGACAACGAAGAGACCGTCGTGCGGATCGTTACTAACATCATAAAAGTCTCTGGATTATTGCGTGCCCTAGGAAGCGCTTTGTAAATATTTTTTTTAACTCGTATAAGGCATCTGCATTGCCTATGTACCTGTTTTCTGGTTCTTGAGAGATACGTGCATCTCTATTATATTCTGTTTATTTGTTGAATGAAGTATCTCTACGTACGTTTATGATTCGACATCTTATCTCGTGTTAGGTGACTTCAAGACCATGCCTTGAAGGCTCAGTTCGCAACCTGCAGATAGGTCCTTGCAGCGAATAAAGGGGAGGGGAAAGTAGGGGGGGGGGGATGGAAGGTGTGCAGTAAGATGAGTATCGTTGTCGACGGATTGGTCAAGCACACTATATTCTGGGGACTTTTTAAGAATTTGGAAAGTACACATCACGCTAAGACACGCCCTTTAGATCCCGAAAAATTTCTGCGGTCCCGGATGCTTGAGCATTCTGCAAAAAATGACGACCGCAAAGTTTTTCAATTGAAGAAAAGGGTAGATATCTTTGAAGTGCGGTGAAGATATGATTCAACTGGCTGTCTCTCATGCTAAACAATGGTGGTATAAAATTTTTTCTAAGCCCATACGTGGAATCTAGAAATGGGATGTTACGGGAGAGAAAAAGTTCAGTTCATCTGGATTTTAGTTCTGATGGGTGTAATACCAAATCAAGTTACTATTGGTGTCGGACAGGAATCCTTGGGGAAAAATACGAAGACGAGTGCAACTCCTGGATTCATGCGCTCAGATGATCCTGCAAGTGCAGCATACATATGTACCGTATCATAAACTATAGTTGGAACCGATTATTCGTATTCTAATGATTATTCGAAATATTCGACTATTGAATGCACGAATAGTCGAACAAATGAAAAAGTGCTTTGTTTGAGCCCTTTGTTCATTCAACAACTCGCGAAAATAACTTCTAATATTGGAATATTCGAAAAATTTCAAAAGACAGTTATTCGCATACACGAATAGTCGACAGTTTCGACAATCCTTGTTCAATTATTTGAATCTTCGACTTTTGCGAGTGAATATTCGAATATTGCATGCCAGTATTCGAATATCGCATTCGAATAGTTGATGATATCAGTTATTCATCTATACGAATAGTCGATCAACTTCGGTTATTCGAATATTCGAAATTTCGAATTTTTGGAATGTGCCCATATTCGAATATTCGAATTCGACTAATATAAAAATCAGAAATTGAATTGTGTTTGTTTATTCGAAAAAATTTCAAAATTCATTTGTTCTATATTCATTAGCTCGGAAAATTTCCAGGAATATTACTCGAGATTCGTTTATTCGACAAAAATTTGCTTTCGTTACAACTATATCACAAGCTGGCAAAAGGCATAGTTTTATGGTTTGGTTTCGGTAAAAAATCTCTCGCAAAAATCTGTTACATTCATTACATTTACAATTTTGGAGAAGAAGGTGGGTTGAGATTATCTATAAGTTTCTCAATGCTGGTAGTTATATGCTTGAAAAGGTCATGCGAAAATTGAAATTTGAGTAGAGAGATCCCTTTGTGGCATCAAGGCTCGTCCTATAAGACCACCTAGGCTTGTGCTATTGTGGAAAATATGAATGCGACTTGACTTCATGGCTCTGATTTCACAGCGCACGCAACTGCTGAGAGGTTCAAGATGGAATACGACGCTCTGAAAACCATTGCACTTCCATGCAAAATGATTAGCATATTCATAATCAGCGTGGCAAAAAACCCCACATTACCAAGTTTCACTCACTACCATATAGCTACCGTAGTCTCGTTTTGTGGCTCCGTAGCGAAAAATGAACACCATATTCGTGATCAGTGTGCCAAAAAACCCCACTGTGCCAAGTTTCGACAAAATTCATAATTTTCGCCCAACAACCGTATCCCTACCGTAACCTCGCTATATGGGCGAACGGCGAAAAATGAGCACCGTATTCGTGATCAGCACTCGGATAACGCCGGGACCAAATTTTCTACAAAATTTCAAATTTTTGTGCTCATCAGTGCACCATGATACCCCATCATGCTTGATGAAACTCGGAGCAAAATCTACCCCAGAGCACAGGTGCGATAAGGTGAGAATGACTCCTCCAGGGTGAAGGGGGTCGCAATGTTCGCAGCCCCTTCAGGGTGAAGGATGTTTCACTTGGTAGAGAAATTATAAAATATCGATTGGGGGGGGGGGGAGCCATGGTGTTTTCTCATCATTTTTCCTAGTCAAGGTTCATAATATATTCCTTACATCACTGGTTATCTTTTTTTCTGAAATGTGAACCGATGTGCTACTGGATTAGCACACGATCATATTTCTGACCAGCACCTTGTATTTTTTTAACATTTCCTTTTCTTTTTTTACATCACCCTGCCTGTTTTGAGAATCACCATAGAACATTTGCATGCGAGAACATTTGTTTCGGAAAGAGTTAGACAATTTTCAAACATTTACGAATTTTTTTCAAAGAAGAAATTCGTAATTTCTGTAGATGAACAGCAGTCAGCAAAGGAAATGTTTTCAAAACCATCTTCTCTTCCGCTTTTAGAGAATATATAGTTTGCCTGGAGTCTGTTGAAAAAGTGCCTGGCGAAGAGTGTGGGTAGTGATTTTTGGTTATTTACGAGTTTCTAGGATAGAAAAATCCGTATCTTCTGGAGATGGACATCTTGTACGCCGTGATGGCCACCTTTGGAACGTCTCGTCCTTCGCTTTCAGAAAATATATACTTTGCCTGGAGTCCGTTAAAAAAAGTGCCTAAGTGAAGGGTGTCCTAGTGATTTCTGGAGATTTTCGAGTTATTAACATTAAAAAAATTCACAACTTTTGTAGATGAACATCTTGTACGCCATGATGGCCACCATTGGAACCGTCTCGTCCTCCGCTTACAGAAAATGTATACTTTGTTTGGGGTCCATTAGAAAAAGTGTCGGGTGAAGGGTGGGTGAGACTTTTATAATGGGAGTGCTCAAGTACAGGCTTTTTTACCATTGTAGAAAGACATCTATTTGAGAATTTCCATTATAAAAGTCTCACCCACCCTTCACCCGGCACTTTTTGTAATGGACACCAGGTACAGTATATATTTTCTGAAAGCGGAGGACGAGACGGTTCCAAAGGTGACCATCTCGCCGGTAAAATATGTTCATCTACAAAATTTATGAATTTTTTCTATTTTAAAAACTCCAAAATGTCCAGAAATCACTACTCACTCCCGTCACCAAGCACTTTTTTCAACAGAGTCCTCCATTCCTGTACGTAAACAATTTACCTACAAATATCTCCTTTGCTTAATCTTACCTCACTGTTGATTTTTTTCTCGGTTTTTGGTGAAGGGGGTCACCTTGGTCCCTGCTCAGGGGTGAAGAGGGGGTGAAAATTCTCACACTATCACACCTATGCCCGGAGGACTTTTTAGCTGTACCTCCTCATTGGCACACTATTTCTTTTTCTCTAACCAAACTCAGAGTTAACCCCGAGTTTCACGGGAGCCTGAAACGCGCACAAAACTCAGAGTTAACGTGCACCTCAGCTGCGCGTTTCGTCGCGCAGCGTATCGCGTGGAACGAGTTACGCTACGTTTCCATACCTGGCATAAAGTACGTCTTGCGGGGTATCCTGCCATGTCATCCTTTCGCCAGTTCGATTTGTTTATGCAGGTGTTAATGGTCCCTGAAAGGTGCGTGTTAACTCAGAGTAAACTCTGAGTTAACTCTGAGTTTGAGCTGCGTGTTTCGACAGGTTTACTACCAACCCACATTTGAACGTTCAAACGCTCATAGCTTGTTCTAGGGAAGAGCTAAGCAGCAGTTGCGTACCGAGGGGGAGGGCGGGCGCCCCCTCCTCCCTCCCACCCCTCAAATGGGTCGCGGAATTTTTGAAAGTTACTTGCATGAGTTATAAAAATGTGCAAGTGATTTATTTATACTTGTAAGTATAATAATTAAAATATTTTTTAAAATTTTCTAAAAATTCAATTTAGCCTTACAAAAAAATTTTTTCTGGGGCGTGGCTAACGCCACACACCTTCATCAGAAGATTTTTTTGTCGCCCACCCCTCCCCCCTCCCCGAGCGGAAATCCTGGGTACGCCACTTCTTAGCAGATATGGAAGTTAGATTTAGAATCAGCTCATCAATACACCTCTAATGAAATGTTATGCATATCATTCGGGTTCGCCACTGCGACCTGGTATTCTTCCCTTGTTAGAAGCTCACATTGAGTTCAAGAAAAGCATCGTCGAGCTGCATGAATAAAGAGCTTGATTTCCACATTCTTCATTTTTTGCAAAGTTTGCCGACAGGGGCGCTTTCTATACCTTTTTTAGAATTCACCTCAGCGAGAACGTGGCATTTTTCTGTGACGGAGCTACATTGGAGCTCTTTTCCATTTCCGACTTTTTCGCTGCAATTACTGCCACTCAACGTGTTGGCAAACTAACTTTCGCCCTAAGAAAAAGTCAATCAATTCAGCGAAGGGTGCCGTAGCGTTGCTTTTGAAGTTTTTTGTACTTCCTCTGCAAACTAATGGATTGATGTTTTTATTTCACGTAAGTTCTTGAGAACTAAGAGTGTTCCTCAAATTCTTTCGCTTAGCAACGCAAAGTCATCGTTTTCCTCACTTGTTGTTTACTTGGAGAAACAGCCGTTTCTTTTTTTTTGAAAATTTTTGCTCTCTCGTTTTTTATGCAAACGTGGAATTCTTTTAATAAAATCCCGAAAATCCATAATTCAACCTTCTTTTTTGATGATATACATTTTACCTAATACCGATTCGGTTTTTCTATTCTGACGAGTTCCGGAGAGGACCTAGAAATAAAGTTCTTCGTTTAGGGCAGAAACGAAAGGCAGGAGACCAGTGAAAGTTTCTCAGATTTTTCAAGCAGATTTGAAGTTTTGCTTTATTTCCATCATGTAATAGGTCGAAACATGGGACTTGTGCTATAAGTTATAAGATTGTTCAAAAAACATTCAAAAACTTTTTTAATATTATGTAATTTTTGTAATCTAATATTGAATTTTATATTTCTTTAGGCATATTACAGATACTGTTCCAAGTCGAATTGAAAATCAGAAAAGAAAACCAAATCACAGCTGTTTATCAGCACTGTTATTTTAGGTGAAAAGAACGGATTCATAATTTGAAAAAAAAATGGTTTCTTCCTTTGAATATATATCGAATCGTTTTGTTGAATTTGCAGGAGTTTTTTTTTTTCAGGAAAACTGCGTGCAATTCTTTTCATGGCTAGGCAAATCTCTGCGATTAAATGATGCCGTCCGATCCCTTGAATAGATCCCGTAAGTGCTTGAACAAACAAAGAAAACACACTTGACGAGTTCTGCGGGGCTTCATCACCATTGATTCATTCCGCTAATCTGTCATCATCTACACAATGATCTTAACAACTTCAAGGGTCATTTCCATTCTTTGTCCACAACGCTGGAACGTCCATGTTTGTGCGATGGATTAGACTCATTCCAAGTGCGTCGCGGCTGCTTCGTTTGATGTTCGGTTGCTTCTTAGTGTTCTATCTGAAGGTTCTAACAGCTTGTCACATCCCTTCTCAAAAGCAAATGAATTTTTTGCTTGGAAAAATGGTTCGAAGTAGTTTTCACAAAAAATGCCGTTAATGATTATATTTGGTTGTTACATAAATTCTGTTACACTTCACAGAAAACCTTCATAACATTATCACAGGTTTGTTCCTCATTTGCGAGTGATGTTGAATGCTTTGAATTTTGAATACATGTCATACATGATAAATAGAATTATTTTTTGAAATTTCTGAATATGCCGAACTTCCAACTTGCGCTATTGAAGTGCTTGTATGTCCAAATTGCCTTCATGTTAATGCTGAGGCTCCCGAAAAAAAATCTTTACGAAAAAGAATAGAGAACTTTAAAATGAAGGTTGAATTGCTATTAGAAAACTGTATATATTCACATAACTCATGTTCGTGGAGAGGAAATGGTGTCAACTGATAACCGTTCATCCCTTGCCCTAGATGCGATGAAATTTTGTCGAATTTTCTAGAGTTTTTTCGGGGGAAAACGAAGAAAGTGTAGCATATACAACTTGACATTACCTAAAATTTGTTATTTTATAACTGCTTTGATTATATTAGCTCGTGAGATAACTTCTTCTTCTCCCTCTGCAAATCTCTAGAAACTCCCGCAAAGCCCCAGATTTGGCATTTATGAAGAAGGAATAAAATCTCCCATCGGCATCATTTTCCTCTTCCCAGCTAGGAATAAAGACGATTCTGATTCAGTCTTCAATTCCACTTTTCTTTGTTTTTCAGAAATTCTCATTCATCGTTTTCGTCTTTTGAAATTTTGAATTTTTTGAGCATCATGCTAATAAAAGATGATTTGAGAATTTATGCTGTTCAACTAAGCAAGCTGAGAATGATTCGAACAGTTTTAACAGTTTAGATTTGTTGATATGCGACATGATGTATGCCAACTTCCCACAATCTAGAATTGATGTGTGAATTTTTGAAGGAAATTGTGAAGTTTTATATAAATGAAACATTAGCTACGTTAAAATCATCTCACTTGGTCAATCATCATGCATAAGAACGTAAAACGGCAGTTTTTGGTAAAAAAATATTTAGCGAGTAATTCGTTACTATCTTAAAACGTTTTGACTGCATCTGCTGACAATTCGATAAATTTAATTTCTGGAAGTGAAAACCTGCTGCTTTTGCAATATTTTTTTTGTTCCAACCTTTGCATCCTGTTTGAAGAAGCTGCAGCAATGGATTAAGAGATTTGTAGGAACGATTTCTCTTTCCATTTTGTACGTCATTGTGAGAGTATTGAATGACAAGGGTGTTAGAAAGCGAAGATCTTCGGAGCCGTTTCTAGTCCTCTTGTTTTCCGCTACCTACACAATTTGTTCATTACTCGTTGAGACTCCTCTCTCTTAAGAAAACAAACACTTCATTAACAATGAGCGTCTGCCAGTCATCAAACTCTTCTCATTTTTCAACGGAGGTTTGAATTGTATGCAGGAAGGGGAAATTACACCCTTTCGAAATCCTGTTTGACATGCGCGTACATTTTTAGCTGCTCATCAAATCAAAAACCAAATTGATGCATGATTTCTTGACTGATGTAGCTTGCAAGAAACTTACCAATCACTCTAAGGCATCATCGTCTATACTGTGACTAAATTTTATTGAAGCAATAAAATAGTTTTCGACTGTAGTGAACTTGATTATTTTGTGACTGTTTGCTGGAACCATGGCTGTTTTGTACAGTAAACTTACCAATCTTCCGTATTCTACAGCTCTCCTGTTATTTACATGATTTGCTGAAGACGCGTATTTGTGCAATCATTATTTATTGAAATGCGTTTTTCTTTTTATTAGAGCAGGATATAAATCCTCCTTCCAAATGGTTTCCGAAGAAAGCTAGAAGCTGCTTAAGTGAAACAAATATCCTTTTTCATCATGGTCATGGCTGAACTTTGAAACTCGCAGAACATCTTTATTGAAAATAGTTTCTTGTCGCGGAGAAGCTTCAAAATATATGAATTAAACTTTCTTCTGCTTCAATAGCTGTTGATTCCTTCGACCATTTCGCAAAATATATTTAGCCTGAATTTTGGTACGCTATGTAATTTTAGCAAAATGATACATAAGGACCAATTGGAGGAAAAGAAGTTTTTCTTTTGTTCATTATTCTTTTTTCAATGAGAGAGTTACTGGAGCTGGGCCTGAGAAAAGTTCTGTTTACGCATGGAGGAGGGTGAAGGAAGCTGAAGGTGGTCCAAGGATCGAGTGAAATTAAGCTAGACTAAGGTTGACAGGAAAACTCTTCGGCATCACTTTTAGTTTTCGATTGAGATGTGATTTATGAACATTACAAAGTAGCAACATCATAAATAGCATGCTTACCAGGAAGAAAAGCCTACGAATGATATTTGAAAGGAAAGAAAAACCGTTTGCAAGCGAATCACGAAAAACAATTGCATTGCAGAAGCTAATTCGTTTCCAGCGCTATTTGTGCCATAAGCGACAAGTTTGTTTCATTGCTTTTGGCTTCAAAACTATACCTCCTTGAGCTTAGATTAGTCGTCACTTCAGTTTGAGAGTTGAATCTATACTTAGACACTGAGAAAAAAATCCATCGCCTATACTGACCAGTCCTACTGCATGTACGTGGCACTTAAAGAGAACAGGTTTCCTTCTTAATAAAATACTTCAGCAGAAATTCCCTCTCACGCTCTCAACATCTACTTTCGAGGCTTTCATTACTTATTCTGCGAATTCTTGTCGAATGCTATTAGATAGTTACATAGCTCCCATTGCTTTTCTCTACTCAAAAATGATAGAAATGATTCTGCACTTTCGTGTTCTCAAGACAAATGTCAAGATTTGTTTAAGCAATGTAACACTTATGAAAAATGAGGAAAGTAGAACCAGCTGGAGAATTGAAAGAAATCTGCAACCTTTTCCCAAGCTTTCAGAGCGCAGTGACAGTGCATCCAAGTTCATGTTCATATGTTAATGCAGATTTAATGCGTGCCTTTGAAGCAAATTTTTACAAATTGTGTCATCTTTCCTTGTCAAGATGCTTTTATCTGAAAGATTTTGTCTTCAGTAACACGAGAACAAATATATTTTCAGCCTTATCTACCAATCAAAAAAATCCGAAGCGACAACTTCAAGACCTGGGTACTTTGCGTCCGTTGGATTGGAATCGGAAAACTGTCGCTTTTTCGAATTTGCGGTTACATTTGATAGCGCTTAAGAAATAATGCTTGTGCAAGGCAGAATGTTCATGGCTGAATGTTTCGAAGGTTTGTAAAACCTTAGGTTGGTTGGTTGGTTGGTAGATATATGAGAAAAACTTTGGGTTGCTTGAGGAGTGCGGCACTTTACTTATCCTTTTCATTCTTGATTTCTAACCATGAAAGAAAATATAGGAAGTGTATATATGGATGAGTGCATGCGTCTGCTACACGCTTGAGGAAGCAAGAAATTTTCAGAAATTTTTGGGAAGAAGATCTGAGTTCTTGGAGGAAAGTTTTTAATAGAGTTGCCTTGCTCTATCGAATGGAACCCCTCATACATTTTTTGGTTTTTCTTGCTATCGTTTTTCTTGCTTTTTCTCCAACCTATTTCTTAACCAGAACTAGAAGTGGCAAATACTTATTTCTGGGAATATTACTGCTGTTTGCGATAATAATTGTCCACACTTTGCGTAATGGGGCATGCTTCTCGAGGTTATTTGGAATGCGAAGTCTCAGCAGCGGCCTTTCTGTGGTCTAACTCTTTGGGACGAGGAAGTTGCCGAAATCTTGCTCATTTCATTGAGTGCTAGCTCCTCGTTAACAGTTTGCAGAAATACTCCGCTCTTCAATACAGAAGATTCGAAAAATATGGTTTATCGGTCCATTGAACCCCGCTAAAAATTGCTTGAAATGTTAGCGATGTTTTGTACAAACCTTTCATTTCCGTAAAGCTATATGCGCAACTGATTGCACTTATGAGCTGCTGGCCAATGGCTAACATCATGCTAGCTTTCAGTTTTAGCAAGAAAATTTGGGGACAGGGCTCGGCACAGCTGTCACCAGATTAAGCTGGATGGCCTTTTTGGGACGGAACCAGGGGAGCAATAAAAGCAATATCGTTTTTGTGGCCGAACACAAAAATTGCGACGTTTTTTCAATACCAACGTCTCGTTTTGAGGGTTTTTACGCATAGGGTTTAGGGTCAAAGGGGACTTCGAGGGGATTTCGTTCTAATGTTCCCTGATGCCAGCTCTTGCCGAGCCCTGTTCGGAGAAAATTGCGGACGAGGATATTTTCATTCTCCTCTCATAGTTAACACCTCGTTCGGATATCAACACGGTAAATGTGCGTTAAAGGCAGCATACACCCAAAAACTCGTCTTCCATGTTTTTATTGTCATCGGGCCTTTCCATGGCGCTGATTTCGGATATGAGGTTCAAATACAAGAAAGTGCTAAAATTGCCCCTTTCTGAAGCCCTATCTTGGCAGACGTGGACGAGTGCCCCTGTGTTAGTCACGTCGTATGCAACAGGAAACCTTGTCGTGCGCAACAGTGCTATATCACAAACTATGCGTTTACTTGTCATGTCAGAACACGTCACGGGGCAATCCGTCGGTGGGTGGAGCGCAAAAAAGGCGGCGAAGCGCCATGAGATCTAGGCCCGTTATCTCTTTTTGGAGGCAACATTAGCGGACCGGACCAACGCAATTGGTCTACTTTTAGGGCCTTCTAATAGGTAAGTATAATAGTAATCTGGGCTGAATAGATTTTGGGTGGACGCTGCTTTCGAACAGTAAGCGGCTCACTGAAGAAGTACAAAATTTGGCTGTTTATAGCCCTTCAAAAGGAATTCTGCCGTGCGTGCATAAATGCTGTACCGATCTGATAAAATCTGCTCTTTGTTACATTCTCCAATGCATTTAAAGCTAGAACTTTCTACCGTTCATATCTTTTTCATTACCTATAACTTTCAAAATTCCACTAAGTTTTCCTTTGCATGTGTTCAACAACTTTGAGGGTTTGCGAGGCTTGTCCATCCAGTAGGTCTGAATATAAATTTAGAACAAAATCCAGCAGTATCGATATTTGAGTACTTGAAGAACTTTGAAGTGTCTACATACACTTAAGACTACAGTTTGGTTTCAACATGCATTCATCTTTTGTATGTACTACCTTTTCTCAGAACTCTTGGTTTTATGATGGTGAACTTAGAGTGCTGTTCTTTTTCATTTGCTCAAAACAGAATTTTTGAAACCATTAACTCTGTCATTTCCGGTGCATTTTTCTACTTAACTTCAGTTCTGCTCTGCAGCCATTTCTCTGATCAACACTTTATGAATGTCAGAGCTTGCAGCTCTTTGCGTTTGTTTACTTATTTCTGCATTTTTAAAATTTTGCTTCGGCACTCGTAAAGAAAGGTCAAGTAGTAGGCAAACCTCACGGCAAGCTTATGATTCTGCAGAAACCGCCCGGTATCACTCAACAAAAATTTATGACTCTACCCAATGCATTGCATTCTTACACTAGTCTTTCTTGCAAACTGTGAATATCCATATTTCAATCAAATCTTAGATCTTTCGAGGTTTTTAGAAAGCCACTGCTATTTGTAAAACCTGTGTCATGTCCATGAGTCCGCGAAAATTGCCAAAGCTGCACAAGAATTTTCTCCAGCGGATAGAGACCAGCTCCTCTCTTCAAAAATTTTATTGGGCGCTCCTACTCGAAAAACATTTCTGCAACGCCACATAAATTCAACAACTTAAACATTTTGCAATTGCGAAAAAATGAGTCTACGATTTCGTCAGTGTGAGTTCGCACACTCCGTACAATAATCCATGACTCTTTGTTAAGAAGTCAACCACAACCTTTGAATGGAAGAAGCTGCTGCATAACTCTAGAGTCTAGACACCTCGTTATTAATTTTCTGATCCATTCTTTGTTAAAAAGGAATAGGAGGCAAGGAGAAATTTTCGAAAAAGTAACCCGTGCATTTGTATCGTGGAATGAACCGTATGGTGAGCATTATCCATCATCTGAGCGTCATTAACAGTCTTGGTCGATTAAGCGAGCTGAATCATGCCAAAAATATTCGATCAATCAGTCATCCAAGAGGGTTTTTTTAACTTTTCAACTTCTTACTGAAGCATATGTGCTTAGTTTTAAAGCCCCTTCTATAATATCTTGAATTCATGAATTGTTGACTGTTGATAAGCGATGAGAACGGAAGAAATTCGAAAAAAGATGTGCTCGGGTACTGCTCTTTGAACTTTTTCAATGCTTCTCAGCTTAGCTTTTTGATATCATCATATCCTTGTATTTCATTTTATATGCTCTAATCAGTAAGGGGATAAAGACTTACGTTTGCTGACTTATGCATCGCCTCGACTTGCCTGAAATACCCTTATTTCAAATCCGATCGTTGATCGTTTTCTTGATCGATTCATCTTCAATCTATTTGCTCTCGCTCATCCCCTCATTGATATCTCAAACACATGTAAGCTACACAGATGCTTAAGACCATTGCTACAAGCAAAATTGAACTATTTACTCATATTAATGGCTTGAAATTTTCTCAGATATTGTAGATTGTTCTCTCTGCTCCCTTGTTTCGCTTTGGAAGTAGAAAGTCAAACTTATAGGAAAACGAAGAGATACATATATTCTCTTTTTAAAAGGATAAGCGAAATGGAGATAGAATTAAATATATTCTCTGACACATTTCTTATTGCATTCCTACCAAAAGCAGAAATTTTATATCCATTTCTATCTCGGTTTCTATCCCTGTGCAGATTCGCTGTATTATTTTCTTTCTCGAACTGTTTAACTATTTCTTCCTTCAGTTTCAAGAGGACAGCAACATTGCTTCGAATCTATGTAATTTTCGTAATTTGCCATGCTTTTATTCTGTGCAAAAAAATGAGAAAATTCTTGAATTAAGAAAGAAAAAATAATTTTGTTCCAGCCAATGCAAAGTGAAGACGCATTTTTATTGGAAGGAGCAAACTTGTTCTCCTTCGAAGCTCATAGCTGCTTTTCTCAAAACCCGTTTATCTTCAGAATAGACACGTCTTTTTTTGGTGATATGGAAGAACAGCACTCCAGCAGGCATAGATAGTCTAGAAATAGAAAGCAAACATATGCTGCTCAAGCTTCTCATATTTCCGTTTTACCTACCTCTCTGTTCTGAAAATGAAACTACAATCGAACAGACCAGTGCTGGGTTCTTCCCTTCATCTCTGTTTGTCTTGCCGATTTTCTTCTTTATCTTACTTTTTTCGATCGAACTCTGTGAACTTATTTGACATTCGCATTCTTTTATGCTCAATTTCAGGGTTATCAGTTATCGCCTTCACTACAGCTTTTCAAATTACTGGTCTTATCTCAAATTTATTGGCTGCGGCATTACTTCATGTAAGTTTTTTTCCAGGAAAGAGTCGGTACCTATATTTTATTTATTTATTCTATACGCTCAATGGTGTTCCATACAATAAAACAAAAAGCAATTACTCATATTCTAACCGCAATGATCGTGCATCATGTAGTTTGGGTCTAATCTTAATAAAAGTGTGATGAAAGCTTGTATTTGACTGCTTCATGATTATAGTTATCAGGATTGAGTAATGTAATCCATGGAGATGTACCCATGCCCCCTTTTGCCAGCAAAATGCTTTTTTTTTTCAAGCAAACAAGGCTTGATGGTCGATACTGACCTCACCAAACCAGTAAATCAGGGAGAGCAGTGACTCCAAGTGAATTACAATAAAGGCTGTAATGATGAATAACTCATACATGAGCGCAAAGATCAAGTTAAGTTATTGTAATCTATGGAGATGGCAATCATGCCAACTAATTTGCCAGCAGAAGCTTATATAACTATAGCTATATAACTTGCTTCAGTGAGGGATACAGTTTTTTTGGACGAAAATGCAAATTTTCATAGAAGCAAAGTAGCGTCACCGTGGAGGCACCTTAATCACGAAACTCACCATTGCTTATCATTCGATTGGCCTAAAAATTATACCCTTCTAACTCATCCATTCTCCCCACCTTGATGAATTTTGGCATAGATTGTGTTAGCATATAAGGTTCCCTACAAAATTTTTACTGGAAATAGAGGAAACGAAGAAAAAATACATGGTAGGCATAATTTGGAATCAGTACAATAAAACGAAACAGTCAGAGAATAAATATTAGGTTGTCCCAAAAGTATTTTCGCTTTTTTCAAACGATCGCCACGGTCCGCAGAACAAACATTCTTGAAGGGTCTTAGAATCATTCGATGCAGTTTTTTATGCTCTTTCAATGATCATCTTTAAATTGCAATTTAACAAACGAGCTCTCAGAAAATAACCAAAAACTGCGACCAAGCTTTTTACCAAGGTCAAGTTTCGCTATTTTTCTAATGTAGTAATTTCCCGAAGGAGTTACCTTTAAATAGAGCACGAAGTAGGATATAAAACAATTTCCGCTCCTTCCAAATCTTACCTTACAAAATTTTTAGAAATATTTTTTTGATGCTATCAAATTCTATATTTCGTCAACTTTTACCTCATAGAGCATCACTCGGGAAGCAACTTGGGTGTTATTCGATGCAGCACCTTCTCCTCTTTCAGAGAGATGTTTTTTGTGTCTGATTCGTAAACTTTTAGAGGACAAAATCGACAAAATTCTTGTTTTTGTTGGCGCTCCAAGATGTACCCGTAAAATTCAAAATCTGATATTTCGAACCTGGAAACGCTCATTTGTCTTGTAAAATTAGTAATGAATCTTAATCTATCCTTAAGAGTATCAAAAACTGAGAATTTCTTAGAGTCTGACGAGTGTGCGTCTGATATGGGTCTGCTAAAATTCAACAGTGTTGTTTAAAATTTTGTCAAAAAATTACGGAGAGCTCTAGGAAGGAGAAAGAAATTGTTTTGTATCCTACTTCGTTTGCTCTATCCGCAGGTTACTTGGACTTCTTCGGAGAATCAGTACAAGAATTTAGAAAAATAGCGAAAGTTGACCTTGGTAAAAAGCGTGGGTCGCAGTTTTTGGTAATTTTCTGAGAGCTCATTTGTTAAACTGCAATATGAAGATGACGTTTGAAAGAGCATAAAAAACTGCATCAAATGCTTCTAAGATCTTCTAAGGATGTTTGTCCTGCGGACCGTGGCGATTGTTTGAAAAAGCGAAAATACTTTCGGGACGACCTAATAAGTTTTATGACCCACTCTATGCTAATTACAGAAAGTTTGTTCTGAGAAAATTCAATGTAAAACTGAATCATTCTATTTTCAAAAAGAAGAAAAAACCATTTTCGTTGTCTGAGAATCAAAAACCATTCTTCATAGACACCTTCGATCAGCATGAAGTCTGCGCATTTGAAAAGAGTAGACCATAAAATTTATATTGCTGACATTTTCAAATTATGATGTGACGGCCTAACTCAAAAAATCGAAATGCTGTTCTATCTTCGTTTTTTCTGAAAACTTTTCTTAGGATGCTGCTTGGGGTGCTGTCACTTGATTCGTTCATCATGACATAATCATCAGGATTACGAAAGGAAATTACGACTTTTTAAATGTGGCACAAAAAGGAAAAAGGATCAGGAAATTACGACTTTTTAAATGTGGCACAAAAAACGGCCAACCCAATGAAAAATCAGGAATTAACATTTCAAAGCTAGTAAAAGCATTTGCTAAAAAGACCTACTAAAAAATCAATATTTGGGAACGACTGGGATATCAACTTAGCTACTTCAGCTACTGTAGAAATTTATCGAAGCTGTACAAAATTAGGCATTTTTTTCTTGGACATTACATTTTTGTTTGAGAATCTCCCTTCCTTATACTCTAGCACTTGGAGTATTAGCCGGAATAAATCGAAGTAAGAGATCTATAATCAAAACTTTTGTTATCGTCTTTAGCAAGAATGCTGATTTTTTCATCAAAACGTCTTTATCGGCATTTTTAAGTTTTTTTCTAGTTAAGAACTTTGGATATGTATCAAAAGCATTCACAACTCTTGAACTCTTTACGACAAAGATAATCTTCATGGTTTAGGAATGCCTTGCTCATTATTTGTTGCAACCGTGCAAGGATCGAAACAGTGTGCCGTATGTCAGTGCAGTTTGGATGCCCATTGCTTCGATGCCATTTATATCGAGCCCAGTAAGGTCTTTACAGCTCCAAACACCCCAAGGATCGAACGGAAACTAACGAGGTCTGTCTGTTAGCATTTTTTTTTCATGCGCTTGCAATGTCATGATATTTTCCAAGCACTTATCAGAGCGTTTACTTTTTGACTCACAGTTTCTCTCAAACAGTCATTTATGACTCTCTTTCTTGACGATTTGCGATCTCCTTGCCCTGAATTAGTCTTCTTTTCCACTTCTGTCTGGTTCTCTACTTCCGGCGTTGTTTTTCCGTTTAGAGTCTGACTAAACTTTAATGTAACTGGTTTAGCGGCAGGAAGGCGGGGCTTTGTGACCTAATTAAGGCCGCTCGCGCCCGCGACGCACTCTGCGCCTTCTTCGCGTGCGTGCTCTCTGATCATTATCTATTAACTAGGTTACGAAGCCCCGCCTTCCAGCCGCCAAGCCAGTGGAATTAAGGGGTACAATACAATCATGCTGGTTTTCAAGTATCGAGCATATTCTTCCAATGATGAGTACGATTCCTTGTGGCTTGCACTCATCATTCCTTTCAAGCTACCTAAATCTAGTTGGCTGTTAGACTTCTATTCCAAGAATGGTGTTGAGAAAATGGTTCTATTGAAGTTCACAGGTTATGAAAAGGATCTCCTCTCCCTTGTTCAAAGTTTTTAAGCAGTACATGTCCACTCCACTTCACAAATAAAAATGCTCGCGCAAACTTGCACGAAGAACTTTGTTGGCCTCTTTCTTCACCTATAGCAAACATATAAAATTTTTTCGGTAAGCAATAGCTTTTGGTCTTTGAAACGAAAGGCTTTGAGAATCGATGTTCTTACAAAGCAGAGAACCTCTGAAGTTAAAGACTTTAATGTATACAAATTTACGATAAATAATTGGAATCTGTAGAAGTAATTAAAGGCAGCGTCCAGGCAAGATCCATCCACCCACATTAGCACATTGTTGTAAAGAGGGGCCCATGAGTATCCGATCTGCGTTGGTCCAATCCTTTGACGTGCCCTCTAAGAAGAGATAGGGGCCTGTGATACGTATCACAAGCCGCCTCTGGGTGCAGGACTATATGTCGCCGAATTTGGAAGAGTCCCGTGCAGATTCCCTGCAGGAACGCATGTCCGCACATGTACAAGGGTGCGTATTTGTCGCAAATGACTGCGGGGACCGCCCTTTTTCGGCGACATATAGTCCTCTACCCGCCGCCCCTTCGTATCACAAACCACCCTGAGGACGAGTGCTTACGCAGGTGTGCGGTTGCATTGCAGTTGCATTGCAGTTGCACTGCACACTACAATGCAACTGCATCCGTGCAGTTGCAGCTCCTCCCGCTGGCATGACGATGGGGACGAGCAATTCGAAACTCGTCCGCTCCTTGAAGAGAGGGTCCCCAAGAACCGGGTTTCTTGGGAGTTTTGAACAATTTGGACTTCGCAACTGTAATTAGGGCCACGGAATGGCCCCAGAATGGCAGAAACATAGAGGCGAAAATTTGCCTGGACGCTGCCTTTAACCACAGGGCTCGAACTGGGTTTGGATAATCTCCACAATACCTACAGCAAGTTTGTAACAAGAAACTCACCGGTTAATACCTTTGACTGTTCTGGTCCTTTGCTGGTCGATGGAACTGTACGTTGTCTCATAAGAAAGCTTGCAACCAAGCGCACTTTTCTGCCTCCGCATTGACGTCACCGCCCTACTCTTTTCCTGCTCTTTCTGAAGCACTATCCGTTTGCATAAGTATTTGCTGTATAACGCTCATCCTTCATGTCTCTAAGGAGACCGCAATGAATGTGGTTTAACTTTCTTGCACGAAATCTTGCAAGTCGCGTTGAAGAAATCAAGATGAAGACGGACTGCAACCAGAGAAGCATGAAGCATACGGATTGGTCGATGGTGCAAAAATTTGGTTATCCACTTATTTGAATTAGATCGACTCCAGTTTGCAAAATCGAGCACTTACCATTTGCTTCAACCAGATTGTCTGCTGGAAGGCGGGGCTTCATGACCTTGGAGGCGCCCGCGACGCAGTCTGCGCCTCCCTCGCGAACATGCTCTCTGATCATTTTCTAGCCTTAATTAGGCCACGGACCCCGCCTTCCAGCTGCGGATCTGCTTGAGGCAAAGGGTATATTAGCAGTACTATGTAAGCAGTATCGTTTGGTCCAAAATATTTGTCACCTATGGCTGCTCATTTATTTGGCATTTTGCCTTGCATCCCAACTTTTGCTTTGCGTATATCGTAAATCTTGAGTTTGAAATCAGAACTGGTAAAAATATATCAGAGTTTTCACCTATAGAAAATATGAGCTTCAAAAATTTAAAAATGTAGTTATTGAATCCTTCTCGAGTTCGTCTATCTGTCCAATAAAAGCGAACATCAATCCGGTCATGACAGTTTTTACGAACGACGCCTATAACGAATATTATGAGTTTTTGTCGTGGCAACCATTGCTTAAATTAGGTGAACTGGCAAAAATGAGGTTGCTAGACACTTGCTAGCATTTCTTATGTAATGCATTATAGAGTTCTCACATAGTGAGAATGCATTCGGTATAGCGAACAATACAGAAAATCTTTTGTGATTCCGCCCTACAAACTCAGGGATTTATCGGGCAATAGGTCAAATTGAGAAATCCCATCTTTTTTATACTTGAGGCAGTCACCGTTCCAACCAAACTTTGAAATACCTCTGGATAAATAAAATAAAATTCCCGCATAACTGAAAGTAGGACTGTCCGCATTGGTCTTCGTAAATTCAGAATGCTTACTTCCTTCGCAAAAGCAAACTCTAATCTGATTTTGAATTTGAGATTAGTTCAATTCGCGCCTTATGTCACATACTCAGGGCTCGGCACGAGTTGGCTTTCCGAAAATGCAAAAAACGAAATCCCACTTGAATCTCCCAAATTTACGAAGTCCCCTTTGACCCCAAACCATAAACGTATAAAAACCCTCAAAACACGAAACGTCGACTAGAAAAACGTATTTCTTGAACACAATTATCTCCTTTGCCTTTTATCCCAAAAACGATATCCAGCTTGGTTACAAACCACCTGTGCCGAGCCCTGCACAGCTTATTCTGGAGAAAGGAATGGAAGTGAAGGGAAGGGTGGGGGGGGGAGGGGTGGAGAGTGAGATACAGAAGAGTGTTGATAGAAATAAACAATAACAAACATGAAATAAACATACGCACACGCCCTCTCTCGTGGAATCCCAATTAACGACTAATCTTTTGCTGTTAAAAATAGATTTACCTGGCGACAAAGTCTCTGACTATTTTCTCTTCCAGGGCCACTCCTCATCCATTTTACTCCTACGCTCGCGCGTATGTTTTCCTCCACTTATTGTCGTACCGAAATCACGAACTTCCAAAAGCTGAATGAACTGTCCAGGACAAGTGTTTTTTGTGCGCATTGTACAGACATTCTTTGTTCATCGCATGACTTTTTCTAGTAGTTGTGCGCACTCATCCAGCTATTCTTCATTCTAGTCTTGTTCAGTATTCGTATATGGCGAGTCGCTAGGGTAGTCATCTATCTTTCTGCAAGATTTTTTTCTGTTTGAATAATTACCCACAAATAACGTACAGCTTTGCCCAAAGGGCATTTTTCAGTTGCGAAGGGAGAAATGAGCTTTTTTCGGGAGGCAGACGGACTATAGCACATTCTGCAGCTTCGTTTTGGAAGTGAGAGGACATTTGTATTCCCACAAATCCCCAAAATTCTCATATAGTCATTTGTTGGCAGAATTTGGCTCTCACGCTATCTCGTCCCTAATCTTCGCCCATTTTCATCGCTAATTCCATTTGGGCTGGAACCGAAAGACGCAGTCTTCCGGCGTCCGGTCAGACGTGGCGCTGTTTGCGTTTCCCGTCAGCGCACCCTCCTAAGCAAGCTGTCAAGAATGTCAACTCAACTGACACTGCTAGTTCTCGATTACTCCAGTTCCGAGCTGCCAAGGGTTTCTGCTGTACAGTATGGCACTGTTCATTATATCTCCGCTTTTTTTCTTCGAAAAAATTTCTATATAGTCCATTGTTCTCCTTAGGATATTTCTATTTCTTGGACCATAAAAAATACTTTTATTTGAAAATTGCCAAAGTTCATTCTTGGCTCGTAGATACGTAAGTGCCATAAGGCAGAAAAATCCATTGCAAGATGTTATTTTTCATTAAAAGTTTTCATTTCATTCTCATGGAATTTATAAAAGAATTTGGTATAGTAATTAACGTTTTCTAACTTTTCCTTGGCATGTTTTCTTTCTAGTGAAACTGAAGTTTCGTATGTTCTTTGTTCATAGAATATGGGCATTGTTTTTGATTTTACAAATACTATGTAGTAGCACACAGGCCTGTTTCGAGACTTTTTAGGCCTTTACTGGTGAGAAAATAACACTGCAGGTAAGGCTCAAGAGCTACGAACCTATGTAGCTTACGCTGTCGAATTAGTTTCTCTAAAAAAATAATTGAGTCAAAATCTTTGATACTGAAAGGTAGTCAAATTTATGGTTTTTGAAAGCCTACAAAATAATGTGAAATGACATTTTGCTCATCTCGACTCCATACGAAAAGCAACATTTTAGGTTGAAACTTTCTTGCAAAAATTTTTGAAGATAATGTTCACCTCCAGTCTGATAGAAATTGTTTGATCTGATTTGAAGAAGAGGCTCACGACAAAATCATCGTATTGAAAAGATGGAATGTAATGAGGAGAAAATCTAGAAATGTTTCGCTTTTGCTTAGTATTTGTTTGAATAAATCATTTTGATTTCGATCAAAACCACTTATCTTCGCACCTCGAAAAAGAACATACTAATCTGGTATATCTACTTAGCTTTAAGTTTTGTATGATATTGTATCAATTCAAACGACTTCTGAACATTTTTCAAGTTTATGCGAGGCCTGCAATACATAGATGAGGGCCACGATTGTAAAAAAATAAAAATCATATTGCTTAGAGGCTTTTACAAAATAAAAAGTTGTAGTCACTTGACTCATCTGCTTTCGTGACTTTGATGTAAATAGAAGAAGAAGTGATCTTTTGCAAATGCATTTTTC